AATAGCTGCCGTGCTGTCGCCGGGGTCAATCCTCTCAGTCGTTTCAGCTCCATCGCAGCCTCTAGTCCCTTGGTCGCAACTCTTGCAATGTGTTCCCTGTATCTGAGTCCAATGTCCATGATCACGCCGAGGATCTTGACATGCTGTTTGGGTTTGACTGTTTGGCCCTTGATAGTGAAAGGTTCCGAATCGGACCTTTTGGCCCATCGGGTGAAGTGGATGACCGCCGTCTTGTCCGCTTCGAAAGTCGCCCCGCTTCTCTGCTCCCAGTCCAGTGCCTTCTCGATGATCGCCTCGATCCCTTTACGGTTGTCTTGCGTGGTTGGTCCAGCGACCCAGGATGTGAAGTCGTCGACAAAGGCTATAGCTCCTCCATAGCAGTTGATCTTCTGTTGTACAAGGTCGGCGTTGAAGAACAGAAACAGGATCGGTGACAGTGGCGATCCTTGCGGTAGTCCAGCCTGAGGCAGGGTCCGGACCTCTGATGCTTGGCCGTTGACCTGAATTGTCGCCGTCCGATCGGAGCAGAATGCCTCTACCCAACGGAGCAAATCTTCTGGGAGGCCCCTCGCTCTCATTCTCTGAATGAGTCTCTCTTTGCATACTCCATTGTATGCTCCCTTCACATCGAAGCTCACGAGGCTGACCACCCAACGATTTCTCCATGCTGCGTAGATTTGTTCTTGCAGCAACACCAACGCTTGTTCTGCTGACCTCTGTTTGCGGGCCCCGAAGTGGTTCGTGGGCAACAGCCCATGGGTTTCGACTGCCATGATCCTCTCCGCAACAACCGACTCGAGAACCTTGCCGAGCGTGGCGAGGAGCGAGATGGGCCTCCAAGCCTTGGCGATGGTGTAGTCTCCTTTGCCGGGCTTCTTGAGCGGGATGATCTTGGCATGCCTCCATTGGTCGGGGAGTACTCCTTCCTCTAGCGATGCGCGGAAAATCGCAAGGACACTGTGCTTGGCGGCTGGCCAAATCTGTTTCCAGACCATCGCCGGCAACCCGTCTTCACCGGGTGCTTTCCACGATTTCGTCGCGAAAAGCCGGCGCTCGACTTCTTCCATCGTGATGTCAGGCATGGTGACAGCCGATTCGCGCTGCGGCCTCTCACCCTCCTCTTCGATGTGCTCTGGTGGGGGCGGGAAGAAAGTCGTAAGCAATTCTTCCGCTTGCTCTTTGCCGTTGGTCGTCCGTGTGCCATCAGCCTTTACAAGCTGCGGCACCTTGCCGAATGCCGCGTCGTCGCCCGACTTGAGATACTTGGCGGCCTTCCAGATGTTGTCGTTGTCGGCCAGAAAGTCGTTCCAATGGGTTTTCTTCTGTTGTCGAATGGCACCGTGGTATTGTTTCGCTGCTCCCTTGGCCGTGTTCTCCAGTGCTTCATCGTTCCGTCCTGCCCGTCTCGCTGCCCTCGCCCGGTTCCTCCAATGTGTGTGGATGTGGCGGGGCTGCGTAAGATCCGCCGTCCACCACCGCTTCGCGTGTGGCGATGGTTTGGCTTTTGGTGTCAAGGCCTGTACTGCTTCCAGCACCACTGACATGAGTCTGTCCGTCTTCTCTTGGACCGTGCCTTCCATCGGGGCTGTCTCGAGTGCAGTGGAAATTCGAGTGTTGATTTCATTCCATGGCGCGTTCTTGTACAGAGGTCGGTCCTGGATTTTCGGGGCCGGCACTGATACATCAAAAATCGTTTCGATGGTGCGGTGGTCCGACCCGTGCTCTGTTCCGTTCGTCGTACACTTGATCATGGCCGCAGCTAGGTCTTCTGATACCAGCACCAGGTCGATTGTCGACTCGTGGTCCCCGCCTTGCCAAGTCTTCGTGCCCCTCGGGAGCATGCTGCAGAGGGAGAGCTCGTTCATCAGGTCGATGATGTTGTCGGCTTCACCCTGTCGTACCGGAGACACGTCGTCTCCTCCCCATAGTTGATCGTGGCGATTGAAGTCGCCCGCAATGACCACGTGCACCACCTCTCCTGCGGCTCTCCTGGCGTCCGCGACCGCTCTACGTATGGTGTTGCACGCTTCCTGTAATGCCTGGGTGTCCATCCCCTGCACGTACACGGACACCACCAGTACCAGTTTCCCTGGAAGCCGCAACAATGCTGCTGTCATGTCCGGAGACTCTATCCGCACCTGTTCAGCCTCCAAATCCTTCCTTACCCAAAGCATGCTTCGGATCGCCCATCGTCCTTCCCCAATCGTTGGTGGGACCATCTTTGTCCATCTGTGATGTCCCATCGGCGTCGTCAACAGCCGTCCTTTGATCATCCGTGCCTGTGGTTCCTGGATCGCCAGCACCGCTACGTCCTGAATGTCCTCGTCGTTCATGAGGCTCTCGTGAACCTCGCCGCGTTTTCGCACATTGAGTTGGATCATACGGAGCGTACTACTCATTCAAAGATGGGTAGAGCTTCTTGCAGTTTCTGCTGAAAGATGCATGGGGACCTCCGCAGGGAACACACTTGAGGATAGTCTCAGTGCAGGCACTGTGGTGGTGCCCCTCCTTGGCACATTTCCCGCACACCTGGGGTCGGTCGCACTGGTGAGCTTTATGGCCGCGGCCCATCTGTTGACAGTTGTAGCACTGGTCGAGGCGAGGACGAGATTCGAAGACCTTGGTCCTCCCAGATTGTCCTCCCGCATAGGCGTAGCCCTCCGCGAGTAGCCTTTCCGCGTCCGCTCTCTTCGTGAGGTACATAACCATTGAGCCGTATGCCTTCGGGACGTCCCTGTTACTTAGCCAGCCTACTTTCGCAACTTGTACGTCGTTTTCTTTGCCAATCTCCTCCGCGGCCCCACTGCGGATGGTGTTCGCCTCATCCAAGACCACCATGCGGCTCACGTAGTCGACTTTGACAGGATAGAGTTCGTCTCGCAGCATCCTAGCTCCTCGAGGCAGCTTGGCTTCCACCAGTTGTTTCACCATGGCGTGCTCCTGCTCGTTTCTGCAGGCAATTCTGATTCGAGGCTTCTTCGGGTCCTTGGTCACGGCCAGGCAACGCCACTTGGATTGGCTTTGGTCCACCCTGACCTCGCCTTCCGTAAGGGTACGAATAGCGCCCGGTGTGAGCTGTTCACCTTGTTCGTCCTCCATCCTGGATGTGTCGATCGTGCAGAAGACCATGTCTATTGGCGTCGGTGGCGTTGTCATGGTAGCCTGCCTCGTGTTGCTGAGTTGGCCGGCCTGTGGCATCCGGGCAATGTCTGCGTAGGACGGCCCCGATCTATCCTGCCCTGCGATCGTCGTAGTGACTGTTTCGATGCTCGCACGCAGGCTCTGGGTTTCATTCGTGGTCGCATGGAGGGCTTTCCTAAGCTTCTCCACTTCGTTCTGGAGCTCTTCAATTCTTGTCGACTGTGACTGGGACTCTTCCAGGACCTTTCTCATGATCTTCGTCTGTAGTTCCATCTGTTTCTCCATAGCGCGCAGCAACGCTCTTCCGTCCGGCTGCCCTCCAAGAGTCCCGGAGATTGGTCGTCGCACCGTCGGTTTGGTACCGCGCCTATTGGCTCTTCGCTCCGTGATTGCACATCGTCGGTCGGCTCGTTTCTGGCTTGACCCTCGGTCGCTTCATCATTGATATGTTCATCGTCGATGACTTCGTTGTCGATGGATCGATTGTCGACGACCTTGTTGCTCGGCTTGCGCGTCGATCGAAGCTGTCGTCTCACACCACCATTCCCCCCTTCTCCATCCGACGCAACATGGATCGTGTCGCGTTCGTTCGCCATGGCTGCAGGTGGGGCGCCACGTGGAATGGGATCCACCAGTTCGCGTCGCGCCGTCCCACGTCAAAGACCAACCTGTCCACGATCAATCTGATGCCGTACTTCAACGAAAATCAGGCAAGTACAGTTAGGAGCATGAAGTCAACTCCAGATCAGTACCCTCGAGAGCGTTCGACAGCGGGCGATGAAATGAGGGGTAGCCCTCAGGACAGTGCGTGCACGGTGACGTGTCCCCTCTATCACCCCAATGTCATCGCACGAACCGCTGCGGGGTGTCCGTCGGTCCATCCACCATTCCCCCAATATCTGAGGCTTGTCCCACTCACACACTTACCGTACGTGTCGACAGCACCGCCATTACGATCCCACCACTTCCCCAATCGAATTTCATGACCTACTTCGAAGGCTGTGACGAGAGCACAGTTGGACGCTAGATACTTCCAGCTATCATCAGCCCAAAGAGGTCCAGTAGATCATGAGAAGCAGACGAAGACAGGGTAATGCGCGGGCAAGGCCACCACAACGAAGGATTTACTAGGTGGTGACGCACGACACAAGAACAAGGGGAAAAGCGAAAGCAGCGCGTCACCAGGACTGCAACGGAGGTCTACCCGCAGGGGGGGGGGGAAGTTACAGTCACCAAACGCGGGGCGAATCGCATTCACCGGTGACCCTGGTGATGCGCGCGACCCCGAACTGACCAACGCACACCATGAAGCCCGACTGACGCACAAGTACGCCCGCCGCGTCAATGATCGACCCATGCTTCTCAACAAATTACGTCGCCGAGGGCTCTGCTGACGAACCAAGGTGATATTAAAGGCATACCACTTCGACGACCCCCATCTTGCGCTTGGGCGCTGCTTTATGCTGAGTAGGCTCTTTACCACGTGTGTCGGTGTACCGGTGCCAGAGTAGAGCTAGAATACCCGCATCCGATTCTTCAACTTCAGCGTTCAATTTCAGCCCACTAGATGAATGGATCTCTCCGTGAAGTTTTCAATTCGGCCCATTCGGCCTCCGGATGCCATTCCTTCGAAAATACGGAGTCATGGAGGAGCTATCGTGTGCTTCGTGGAAGTGCGCGACAAGGAGACAGGCAATCGCAACGGTCCAGGGCCATTCAAAATCACTCTCGTTAGAAGCGAAGTCGATGGCTTTGACGGGAAACGGTTTTTGTTTATGAATGGCCAGAAAGTCGAGACTTACGAGGGCCCAAACTTGGCTTTGGAAAACGAGCAGACCACCAAAGAAACCATCACCACCATGATGGACAACTTCAGTCTCGACGACCTGAAAGATACACCTTTCGCGGAACTCGCTGCCCTTGTATCGAAAATCAAGGCTGATGGACCCAACCGGTTTTGTGTTGATTTTCTCCGGCTTCTTTACTTCGGAAGTAAGCTGCCCATTAGACATTAGAATTCTGTGTTCAGTATTAACAGATCATTAGGCCTTAGACATGGCACAGCCTTTACAAAAGACGGTGAAGCCCTTGAACTTAAGCAGATTGGGCAACACATCCCAGGCATTGGTGGCCTTTACTTCTTGCCACGTTTGGCTGCACTTCAAATCGGTCAAGTGCTGTTTGTCGTGCTGCGAGAGCTGGAAACAAGTTTGTTTGACGAAAGTCATGGGAGTTGGATGTTACATTCTACCTCGCCATCAGTTCAAATATTTTTCAAACAAGCTATGAAATACTGGATGGACTTTGTCAAGAAGGACGTAAATCGCCGGAAGGATGAGCACGGCTGTGACAGTCAGAGGACGGAGAAGTCGGGAGAATGGCTCGACGCATTGGAAAAGGACGTGGGATTTTAGAGAGTCTGCCTTCTAAGTAGCAATGCAAAAGAATGGTGATGCGAGCTTGAGACCACCATCCACAGCCGCCGCCCCAACTGATTCGGGTTTGCCCAGAGGGGAAAGAGCACTAGGGTCCGGGTCTTTCGCATTCCACTGACAATAGGCAATCTGAAAGCGGTTGCGCATCGTCAGACCGAAGCTTGACGCCATACGTATACATGCTCGCCTCGTGGCAGGGCCATGACCTCCGAAGCGGAGAGGCAAGCCATACAAATATGATGGAAAAATAGCATACGTCCACGAAACGCATTTTGCAGCCCCTTTGCCAAATTATCGCAAGGCTCTTTGTACCTTTCGTCTCGGATGAAGTTCTGGCTACCGTCGTTGTATCGAGATCCAATGGATTGGAGCAGTTGCAGGGCCGTTCGCCAGTCTTGGAAGCGGAAGAAGCTCGGATGGTAGGTTGGAGATGTTGGCCCGAAGACAAGCAGATAGAGTATTCGGTAATTACGGACCGCGACGGAGGGAGAGGCGACTTGTCAAGAATACCTACGCCGAGGAGCGAAAGTTAGCAGAGGAAACCAGACGATTGGAGTGGACTTGGGACCATGGAATCCATAGCAGCGAGCCAATATTTGGCGGATGAGCGTGCACAGTTTGGCCGCGGTGATTATGCGTGGGACGTCTCGGTTGAGGCAGCCTTGATACTGGAGCTCTTGGAAGGTAGTGGCAGCAATATTGCACTCGTTTGGGTAGTGGCTATCGGCGAGGCTGACCTCGTTGGGAGGAGGGATTTCGATGTCGGGCTATAGCCCTCGACGGTGCGGGCTTGGTGCCTCTGTTTCGAAGGCAAGACGCGTTATGGGATGGCCTCACGTCGACGGTAAACCATAAATGTTCAGAGCGTGACGGTGTTTGGTGCTTCATGAGGGTACTGCGATGGAAGTCAGTCTCTAAATAGGAGGGAAACTGGGAGGCTCTGTTGGAATGGGAAACAGACAAGGCGGCTGGCCCTGACGGATGCCCGCTTGAGTCAGCCCCGTGCGGTATTATCAAGGGGCACCACAACGCACACTACGCCAAAGCAAGCCTCGACATACCAGCAAGGCTGACGGTACAGCATTCATCAACACATTGCGTGGCAGTAATTCCCTTTCTTTGATCACTTCAGTTCCCGGAGCAGGTGCATCAAGAGCACTTCATTGCGTTTTCCCATCCACAAGGCCCAACAGCAACCCAAGACTCTTCCCATCCCAGCATGACAGCTTGCTTCATTTGTCTGCTCGATCGAGGATTGAAGGAGGTCTCCATGGCCCCTTCATCTGCTTTACGGTGGTTCACACCTCCCCGCCATCTTCTTTCTCGAGGCCAACGATACTTGACGCGAGTCTTGATGCCTCGATAGCCTCAAGGCTCCTAGGTCCTCAGCCGGGAGCTGCAGTATTTTGGTCACCGCGTTCGCACTCTGACTTCCGTGCTATGATAGATCTCCCTCTTATTACGATACGAACGAGTCCCGCAGAGTTATTGCCACCGAATCCCGATTGACATCCTTCGATTTCGCTGTCAGCGAGAGCCGACGGCTGGCCGTTATACTGAGAGGCGTGCAAAAGCTGGAATACCAGATTGTGGTGGCCTTGTCCATCGACACCCAGGGATACACTCAAGACAGCAGGTCCGACCGTGTCTCCCCACTTCTATGGCGCCTCTTTCATTTGCGGTACACTGTCCGTGGTGTGACGCGCTCGCGAGTTGGTTGACCGCTCCCAACAGCAGTAAACGGCGTCGAGCAAGAACAAGGATGTATCGGGCACAGAACAACAGAGGAGCTGCTCGGGCGGTGGCAGCACTGGACAGACGTTCCACATGTATTCGAGGACAACAACGGCGGCACTGGCTCGGTGGGAGAGCGGCATGGCTTGCGTTGCACCTGTTTCCCCCGTGGAAAGGAGCATTTGGAAGCCTGCGGCGTCAAAGAGCAGGTGGACAATATGATCAAATTCGAAGTCCTATCAGGATCCAGACAGCTGCGTCGAGTTACGCCAGTTCATTGAAGAACAGGATTCAATTGGGCTACCACAGTCTACCAGGCCAGTCGATCGACGCCGCCGTCAGAGCTGCTCCCATGGCCTTCTTCTTAGAGCCCAACAGTCTGATTGTTCCTCCGGATCAACTTCTCCCATGGCTGGATCTGCTGAGGCTTGCAGTCCGGGCACTGCTTATCCCCATGGTATTCGTAATGGCACACTTTCAGAGGACATATGAGCTGCGTTCGTAGGTACTCAGAACACCATTGAGAAACAATCCACCGGAAGTGGCCGCAGTGGAATTCTCTCTGGGTCCAGTCGCACATGGTCAAAGGTAGTCCTGGAGGGTCAGCTGCGGTCGGGGTCAACGAGACGCATCCAACTTACAGTCAAAGACAAGTGTTGTGTCCGACAGCGTGTCGATGGTCGCTTTGGTTGGGGAGCGCGATGGCTGCTTCTTGGGTTCTTCGAGATGGTATGGTCTTTTCCGCAGACTCCGAGACGACAGGGGCGGCAATGTCCGCGCCTACATAGCATTGATCAGAAGATAGCAGCCCAGCTACGTCTCACAGGCGATCGGTCAGACAACAATCATCACACCTAGCTCTTGTTCGCTCTGTCTTCTCTCGATATCCCGAGGTCAGCCCCGACGGATGTCTGTCCCAAAAGCAGCACGCCGATTGGCAGAAGAATGACGATGAAGCCACGGTCTCCGCTTTTGTGCCGCCTCCCTTGCAGGGACAAATCAAAGGAAGGCCTCGTCTTGCCGTACTGAGAGCTATGTCACTCTGTCTGCACGAGATTGAAAACGTCAACCTCTGTTCCCCCCAGCCGCAAGCCGAATCACGCATACCCTGTAGGACAAGAGGGGGCATGCCCTCAGGGCCCGCCTACCTCTTGCTTCTTCGGATGGCACCTCTGTGTCACATCAACGAATGCACCACCGCGCTGATTGCTGCCGGCACAACGCCGGCAAAAGATTCGCCACATGACCTTGCCAGACTGCACGTCCTTGGGGCATATGCAAGTACTCCTCACAAGGGTCGGCCAAGATCGGGGGGTTCAAAGCTAGCGAACCTGCTTAGCTGGCCAACCATGACGAAGCTTGTCAGGGCCATGGCGTGGCATTCGGAGTAGCGCATGCCGGATACCTGGCAATGAACGGTGGGTGAAATGTGATGTGATGAGAGCACCTGCTCAAGGTCGGTCTGGGCTGGGGGCTTCAGTGTGTCCACCTGTCCAGGATGTGGGGTGGGACGTGACACCACCCGCAATAATCCCGGGTCGCGTCCTGGCCGAATCACATCATGTACCCTTTTTCGGACAAATTGGGACCGCTTCACTCTCATCTTCCCCCAGATTCGGGTGTCTGATCCACCAACATTCTCCCAGCGTCTGCGACAGGAAAGTATCTAATCAAGTGGAGTCTAGGCTTGGTGTTGTAGCTCTAGCATATCTGCCCCACCAATCGCACTCCCGTTGGTGGCTGATCCCCCGGTGGCAGCTCAGACGGGAAGAGACCTCCGTGGCACGGGGATAAGGGGGTCCGGACGGTCGAATGCGATAGCATTGTCCACCTCCGTGGATGGCCCAAGCCATGCCTGCGGCAGTCACATCCAGCTAGTTGTAGATACGGGCTCCGTCCTTGCTCTTTCGGCACAATGGCGCTGTCTCTTAGCGTGCCTCGCATCATTGGCTACACGACCTCCTCCTTCGGATTCGGCTGATGATGCTCGAGAGCAGCTACACAAGCCCCTCGAACAGACCATAAAAAGCCCGAAGATCCCGCAAATTGCATTCATCAAGCACCCTGCATGGCAAAGTCGACCTCAAGTCAAAATACTATCAATTAATCCGGAATCATGACAGCCATTATGCCTCAGCCCCAGGCAAGCTCACCCAACGGTGACTTTATTCTCACTATACGCCAAGAGGCGAAACATGGCTTCGTGGCAGCCAAGCAATGTAGGCATCTTCAGTTTACCCTAGGCTGTGTATTGGCTAACGAGCAAGTAGGCAACCGCAAGCCGATTGACCCTCCCCCCGTCGTGGAGTTAAAAATGCCACCTCATGTGAAGCAATCCGGTAAGCCTTACTCACCCAAAAGGGTCAGATATATGTGAAGCTAGAGGCTGAGGGTTGAAAGATACGTATATCATGTCTTGTTGTCTGCTTAAAGAAGGAGATCAAGACCAGTCGCCCGCTCGCGCTCGCGACATAATTTTCGGCTCAACAGTGTCTTCACTGCACCAAGTCAAAGACCTTGAGAAGAAGGACGTGATGGTTTTCGTGTTCAACGATATCTCGGTCAATGCTGTAGGGAAGTATCGACTTCACTTTCAAGCGTACCGCCTGGACAGCGATATGTGCCAGCCGATTGCGTCGACAGCCTCCCAGTTTTTCCAAATCTTTGCCAAAGATTCATTCCCCGGGTTTTCTGAGTCAACAGAATGGACCTGCTCCCTCAGTGACCAGGGCGTGAAATGTAAGGTACGCTTGAGGCGCCGAAAGGTTCATACGGCTGGTGGATTGCTTGCTGGTCCCCAAGAAGAATATCCTGGTCCAGACACTATCTCGGATGATTGTCTCTAAAAAGGCCTGGTCTCGATTCTCGCGCTGGGCGTGCTCTTCAAACGAACGAACTTCACTATACAGTATATAGTTGTTCCCTCCTAGTTAGCGTCCTTGTTCTTTTGAGGGGTTGGACTTCTTCGCCTAAAACCCCATGAGGCTGTGTTTCTTTACGGGGTGTGCCTTTGACGACGATGCATATTAGCGTACTTGGGCTGATGGTGCCTCCACACGCCGACCACGAATTTGCCAGTTCAGGGTTCGACAGCATCAATACCCCATGCTGGCATTGGAAGGAAAGGGTTAAACAAGGGGTGCGTCAGAGTTGACCCTGGCATGGCCTTGAGACTCGCAGGCCTTAAAGAAACAACCAGTGAGAGATGGTGGTCTGATTTCATTCTGATCTCGCTAAGTTCATGTCACCTTGGAAGAGGGTGCTCACTACCATGCAATCCACCCAGAAGCCTAAATTGATGCTGATTGCCGCCATGGAGAACGCCTACACCCACAATACACAATGTCCTTCCCATATACACACACCTCAAGTCCCCATATGACCAGTCGCTGACTACCAGCCCTTGGAGTGGTAGCCTCCATGGGTCTCCTTCTGGAAGTACTGGTTGTTGGGGTTGCCATCCTCGCCCTTGTTCATGTGCACCTTCTCGGGGTACTGCTTCAGGTTGGCAACGTTGTGGGAGGTGTGGCGGCGCTTGAGGACCGCGTTGGCAGTCGAGTTCTTCTGTTCGCGCTCCCAGAGGAGGTTGCGGCGCATTGACTCGGTCAGCTCGGTAGCCAGCATTTCACGGCGCGTGGTGCGCGGCGACAGTGCCGCATGATTCTGGAGCTGGCTGTGGCTGGCGGCGGTCGCAATGGGCTGGGCAGTGGAGCGGGGGATCTCGTTGATGGGCTTAAGAGGGGAAGAGCGGACACCCTTCTTCATCATGAGAGGTGCCTCGTCCGAGTCGTTCGGCGAACCGGCCACGGCGTGCGCCTGCGAGAGGCGCGACGCGCGGGGCAGTGCCGAGGTCGACTGGGAAGCAATGTTACTCAGCCTGGAGGCGCGCTCGTTTTGCGCGAACATGACCGAGATCAGGGAGCGGCGCGATGTGAGGTTGACCTTGGAGTCGACGCGCTGGAAGAGCGTCTTTTCGTCCATGCTAGAGCGACTGCTGTTCTCAATCGAGTCCTCCCAGTCGGAAGAGCCGTCATCGTCGTCAATGGCGCTCTCGTCGACGTAGTCGGTGTCCGAGTCATCAGCGACGGCGCTGTCGATAGCGCGAGGGACAAGCTGGGAGGCCTGCTTCTTCTGCAGGTTGAGAAGGCCGTTGGCATGGGTAGAGGCGAGAGTGTTCTTAATGGGGCTGTCTTCTTCGGAGGAGTCGCCGAGGGCGAACATCCTGCGCTTAGACTGAGGGACGGGCGCGGGGCGGGCGTTATTCGGGCGGTCCTGCTCGCCACCCATGACGAGCACGGGTTGCTTCTTGGATACGACGTTCTTGGCCGTCGGCGCAGAGGCAGGCTCGGGATGGAGAGTGAGGATGCTGCGAGGAGTCTCCTTAGTGGTGCGGATCAGGGAGCCTTGGGCGGGAGAGAAGCCGCGAACGACAGTGGTGCCGGTACTGGGTCCGAGATACAGGGACTTCTGGGAGGACTCAGGCAAACACGTGTTGGTAGATCCCGAGCGCTCAAAGCTGGAGCTAGACACGGGCGATTGCTTCTCTGCCTCGAGATAGGGGGAAGTGATGTAGGAGAGAGGAGCAGAAAAAGGCTCCTTGTCCTTGAGGATAGAGACAACAATCTTCTCAAAGTCGTCGGCGGTAATGTGGTGCTCTCGGCCCCGGCTGCTTCTGCGGGCGCACTTCTGTATTGTAGGGCGGACAATGTCAGGGTCGGACTGGTCGGAATTGAAATCAAATGCCCCCTCCTCGTCGACGGAGTCAATGGAGGCAACGCTGTGGGAGAGCTGGGGGACGTCGGTCCCATCGCCCTGAGAGGCATCGCGAGGCCGGCCGGTAGCGGTATACGTAGGACGGTGGTCAGTCGCATTCCACAGGCGCCAGCAGATATTCTCTAGTCTTCGGCCCTGCTCGAGTGACTCTGCGCAACGAGCAAAGACTGGATAGGCACATGTCAGTGGGACGGCGTGGTTACGTTTTGGGGCCCACCAGCTGACGAGAGTCGCTGTCGAGCTGCACCAGGAAAGTCAACTTACCCGTCCACATGCTGTAGAGGTTCTGGGGATTGGAGGTGTCGACCTTGTGGAGAAGGTTGGTGTCCACGGTCAGGACGTGTGCGTCGAGTGGGAAAGGCATGACAGTGTGCTGAGAATGGAAGGAACGAAGGCTCGCGGTCTCGATCAGGACTGCATGGGTACACCAGAAGAGCACAACCGGTTCGTGCACGGTGAACGAATGGGTTAAGTAGGGATGGTCAGGTACTGGCAATGGCCTCGGGAGGAGATCAGTCCCCCAACGTCGACCAGCAGAGTCGGCGACAGCAATGCCCGCAGGTGGACTCGTTGGGAACACCTAGCCCCGGATACCCCCTAGCCCCCGACGCGGGGGCACTTCCACGGATGGGACCAGCGCGGGGGGATTGACGCGATAATGGGATGATCGAGTACGAGCACTGTACTTCGTGCATCCCGTCTCGCGTTTGGTGGCGTGGGGAGTGTGATCGCGTCTCCTTGATGTGTTGATGGGTGCACGGGCCTTCGGAGACGGGCCAAGGAAAAGCAAGGGCTCACACGGCGTGACTGGCTAGGGATGTGCGACATGGCGAATCACCTGGGCACGATGCCGCTGCAAGCCAAGGCATATGTCGGGGGTAGCAGGGAGGCGTGATTTATTGGGCTTCATTAGGCGGCTCGCAGAGTGTGGGGGGTTCGATCCGCCATCACTGACACATCAGGGCCGTACACCAGAGCCGATCGCCTTCAGCGGCCAGCGCCTGGCCATCGTCCTGTCCATGCGATGGCACCCCGCTGTCTGGCCGTCATCTCGTCTCAGGGATGTACTCCTGCACCTCGCATGTGCCAGCAGATCAGCCCGCAGAATTGAGTGCGCATGCGAGGTGGTCTCCCAAGGGGGCCATGGAAGGGGACGATCGCATCTTGTTGCATTGCTACACACGCCACCGAGTATTGCGGGAGAAGCATCAATTGATTCGATCGAGTTCCTAACCCCGCGAACGGTAGAACTGCGCTTACATCTTGATGTCGCTTCGAGTGACGCATTTGGGTCACTCTTGCCCACTGATATCCGACAGCTCGTCTGTGGTTTCGCGCGATGTACACAGTCATGGGACATGCTCCAGATTGGACCAGGTCTTCTAGGCAAGAATTGACCGTTCACTCTTCGACCAAGTGTTGCTAACAATAACAAGCCCATCATTCTATCGTTTCTCCTCCAAGAACTAAATGTTTGAGGGTCGGCACCAGATTGTCAACAGCAACATTCGTACAGCTCTCCCTTGCGCTTCCATTCCTGAGCAACCAGTTGCGCCTGTAGTCGTCCAGTGTAATCCAAGTCTTCACCCTTTATTCGTGTGGTGCACTCCAAAATCTTGTAACTGATCATAAGCATCGATGTCGCATGGTTGCATAGGTTGTTGTCCTTGGTGTGAGTCCGAATAGCCTCCCAAAAGGAGACCTGAGAGGTCAGCTTGGAGCCGGAGTATGCATGGAATGGGACTTGCCATTGTGATTTCCTCTCCATGTGTTTTCTCTGCAAAGCGTCGAGAGGTGTCCCTGAGCTTCTGTCTCAGGACCTCAAACCATGCCAGCAGACAGTTTTGGCTGCTCACCACTTCTGAAATGGCATCCGTGGCAGAAACGAATTTTTCTTTCGCGGTCTCGGTGTGTTCCAGGCCGTACACACTTCGTTGATTCGGGTCCCATATGCTCTCTTTATTCTCGTCCCACAACGAAGCAAGTTTTGCTCTGTGGTGAGGATGCAGCAAAGTAGCAACCCATGTCGGCAAATGGGACTCGTTGTGGTCGGAGAATTCATGGAGGACATACTTTACTATTTCGACGACCGTTCTCATGTCGTCTCGGAGAACAAAGCCTACAGGAAGCTGTTGGGGTGCGTTTGCCGCCGTGCTGGCGACTGCTCCCGCCGCGACTGTGTGAACGGGGTAAGGAGCCGACCGGTGACAACGTGTGCGCCGCGAAACAGCCATCGTGAAGTTGATTTGATGTCATTGGCGAGCACTCATGCAAGATGGGATCTGGTTGCCTTATATGCAGGCGCTAGGACCACCGTGTAGGTGAGGCGAGCCAGAATGCGAATGTCCCGGCACGTCTCGGCTACCTGTGCTTGATCCGGAATTGACCCAATAAGGAACCCTGGTGCCGACATGGATACGCACGTAGCTCGCTAATGATGCTGGTCCTGGGGGTGGAGATGTCCAGGGTATTGAGGTGTGTCATTATACAGCAGGGGGGTCAAATTGCTTCTCCGAAAAGAGAGACAAGGTCTGGTTGACTCGCGCTGATCCCAGACGAAGCTGCTCGTCCTCTTTCAGCGATAATAAAAAGCTACCCCACTTTCTCGCTCATCCTCTTTTAGTGACAATAAAAAGCTACCCCACTTTCTCGCTCATCCTCTTTCAGTGACAATAAAAAGCTACTCCACATCCTCGCTCATCCTCTTTCCAGCGGCAACAAAAAGCTACTCCATTTCCCCATTTCCGGCTACACGCAATACAACCATGGACAAGTCACGTCTTTGGGATAACGTAAGCACGCCCTATCATCTTGTCCATGACTAGCTAACAGACCTAGGTCATGCAATCATTTCTGAAGGTGCCCGAAGCGGAACGCGCCAGCTTATTGAGTAAATTGCAGGATGTGATTCCTCGCAACTTATTCAAAGATGAACTTTGGGGCACCATTCTCACCAAATGGCAAGCGCCTTCGCCCAACTGGCCTTTGCCTCAGAAACCACTTGAGCTTATCAAGCCTAAGGCCCAGACCGACAATGATTTCGATATTCGACCCTATATTGTGCTGTGGGTCTGTTATTGTGCCCAGCAGTATAAAAAGCATTTTCCCGGCAATTGGAGGACGATCGTTTGCAATATCTTGACAACCTTGGGTTTTGCTATTGAAACAACACACCTGGGCAACCTTGTCCGGGAAGGTAAGGTATACTCTTTTCTTGCCAAAGGCAAACGAGGCCGCCGTGTTCTTTTGAAACTGCCAGGCAGCTACACTCCAACCAGGTAAGCAGTCACTAAATCGTGGCCAACTTCGCTAATTAGCAAGACAGTTATGCAACAGACCTTTCAAACGATCGCAAAAAATTACAGGCTCTACGAGATTCACTTGACCAGGTCCAAGACGATCACCTTGATGATCTAGATGGGCTGAGCAACCTTGTGAATAAAGCTCTCGAACATTATTTCGCGGAAGTCGGGCTTTCCTCTCCACAGGCATTTACACAAATACTTGGCCCGGGCAACTTCGAGCCACCGCAGCCTCGGAAGAGACGCCGTGTGGATGCCCGATCCATACGCGTGACAGAGCTGGGGGAAGCTGACGAGCCGTTTTCGGAACATGCTGGTAAGACGGCAGCTGGTACATGGGGTGACGGTGGGGGCTCTGGCGAGAGTCCTGACAACATCGATTTGTCCAGCGCCGCGGCATCAGATCCTAGCCAGGGCAGCTCGGGCATTACGACAACAAGAGATGGCAGCTTTGAGTTGTGTTACGATCAAGATGTAGGTGAGATATGAGCTGCAGTACCAGACGTCAACTAACATGTGTCATAGTTCTCCACTGGATTTCCGAGTGCATTAGCTCCCGGTGCGCCCACAATGCATGTGCTTCCTGTTCCAGGTCCGCGCTCTACGGATGCCCTTCCTGTTCCATCGGGATTCAATGTTGAAACCTTCACTTCATTCAATTCTTTCAATCCGTTCAGTTCGTTCGGTCTCGTTCGTCCTTGGCAACCTCAAATGCGACGAGATAGACTGTCGACTCCTTCGGCGATGGTAGAAATTCGCCACCAGGACCAACAAAGTGGAAGTCACCAGCCTGATCAGCCGTGGATTGGCTGACCGTCATTGGTGGCTCGGGGGAGGATCGCCGCTCAATGATTTGTCCGATGGGGGTTTGATGCAAGATTAGAAGTATTCCGATCTTGCCATCCTCTACTAGGAACCAATCGTGGGTTTGGAGAACAACAGGGTCTTTGTAAAGCTTTCCAAGACAAAGGTCATACGTTTTTAGGTGTTGCTTTATTCTTTCAAACTACCATCATTGTTAGCGTGTCTCTCTGGTACATCAAAGATAGGTCGCACACCAACTTCATTTGCCCAGATGCCTAAACCACAATCGAACACCATTTCGGAACATTTCTCACATCGCCACAGAAACATACCTTCACGAACTTCTTTCATCGATGTGCGGCACCTCTGATCGGCATCTCTGCGGCAACTCTCATACATCTTGGCCATGGCGTCTCTGCGATCTCGACTGTCTAGGTCCAGAGACAAAGGAAGGGTCGAGGCTTCAAGTTGAACGGGCGCCTCTGCTTGGCTGGATGTCCCCGATTGATTGGAAGGCTCTTGTTCATTGGCAAGAACAGTGTCTAGCCACGTAGACTTGTTATCAGTCATGTTGCGCGTCTGACTGAACAAAGCATTTGAATTGAAGCTACATGGAAGAGGGATTTTGTGTTCCGCCACTCCATCCCCCGCGGCCCCGCGCACAACGCCCCACATATCCGCGCCACGTTCATGAGCCACTGTGGCTTAGCCCTGACGGCTGGAAGCATCATCCTGCTTTTTCTTGCCTTCCTTCTGTTGTTCTTAGCTTGGATTGAGTCAAACTCGAGGGAGGCTTTACCGAAGAAATGGAATTGAAAAACTCCTTGTTTTTTCCAGTAGCGGGAGGGAGCCCGTCGGTGGACGACCCCTTCGAGCGGACATCTCCATTTTTCCCATCCTTCCCCGAGGCCTTTGAGTGATCTTCGTTTCCATCCTATCGGCCATTAGAGGTGATATAATTAGGATGGCCTGTGGGAAGTGTTACCTTACTGTATTCGTCGAGCTTCATCTTTTCGACTTCCTCATCTGTGACGTCTGGCAGCACGTCGACTCCCTGGGACTCCTCCGAATTGTCTTGCCCAGGCATGTCTGCGTCGTTGGGCATTTTGTATGACGGTACGGTGCGACTTGATGTCCAGTTACGTCAGGACGGTGAAGAATTAAGCCTGGGGAGAATATTGGACTGACGGAGGCAAGATGACTTGGCTAGATGCTGGTTTCAGCTTCTTGGAATCAACATCACGCAGCTGGTTTGAAAAGGGAACAGACGTGACGCGGTCTTATACCTGCTCACGGCATGCCAGTACCAGACAACGCACCAACATGCCTTGTGCACCCCAGCGGTCGCTTCTTTGGTCTCGATATGCAGCAGGATTGCAGAGACTGGACAGGTAAACCGCCAGCTTCCCCTGGTATTCCCCGGCTTCTCTCCCGCTACTGCCAATTTCAGGTATTGCACCAACATGCAGCAAGCCCCGGTGCGTCCCAGTGGTCGCTTCTCTGGTCTCGATATTCAGCAGGGCCTGGGTTCACACGTACATGGAGTCAATCGCCGCCGGGTCTTACATCTCCACTTCTTTTCTCCTTTCTCAAGCACACTCCGTGAAGACCGTAGGGACCGCTCTGCAACTTCAAAAACTTGAGTGGTCCGGCCTCTGGCTGGCCAAGTAGCATGGATCGTGAGAGGAGGCTGCAACTAAGCCATCTCACACATTATTCTTGGGAGGCTTGAATGACACAGACAAGGCTGGCTAACTATCTTCACAGATTGGAATTAGGTCTAACCAAAGCTTTTCCCATATGAGTCGAAGTGGCACTATACGGAACCATCCTTAATTCCCGGTAGGCAAGCTATGCTTGCGAAGGTCGAGGCCGATTTGATTAGTCATAATTCCTCACTAAAATTTAGTCACCGACTCGTCGCCCGACTCATCGCACGCATCGTCGCACGCATCGTCGCCCGCACGCACCATCACACGCACCATCGCCCGACTCGTCGCCCGACTGATCGCCCGCACCATCGCACGCATCATCGCCCGACTCATCGCCTGCACCATCGCACGACTCGTCGCCCGACTGATCGCCCGACTCATCGCCCGCACCTCCGCACGCATCGTCGCCCGCACGCATTATCACACGCACCATCGCCCGACTCTTCGCCCGACTGATCGCCCGCACCATCGCACGCATCGTCGCCCAACTCATCGCCTACACCATCGCACGGCTCGTCGCCCGACTCATCGCCCGCACCATCGCACGCATCGCCGCCCAACTCATCGCCTACACCATCGCACGCATCGTCGCCCGCACGCACCATCACACGCACCATCGCCCGACTCATCGCCACAACTAGTCGTCATGAAGTACCAGATCTCGATCGCCGAAGACTGCCAGCTTGGACTGGACTATCTTAGAAGCAAAGTGCGGGCTCTCGAAATTCTCTTGAAGGCCTGGGAAAGAATTGTTTTCACGTCACCAAGAGTTGCAGCGAAAGACGCCGCGGCAGTAGCGAAAGACCAAACCCTGTTCAAAAAGTCCCTCATAACGTATGAAAAGACATTGAGAACAATAGTCCCCCCCGAACCGACACGGGGAGATGTGAATCGGTTCATATTTGCTTGTTGGGCGCAAAATCCCCAGCTGGAAAATCTCTTCAAACACCTAGGGAGCAGATTCGAACCTGTCTTTCGAGAAATCGCTCCGCTGCCTGACATCGAACAGACGGCTATCAAGAAATACTTAACCATCATCCAGAGCGTGATTCCCGATGCCGATTTTAATGCATCACTCAGTAGGCAGCGACCTGTGCTTTCCTGCGACCAAGGCTTACTCTCATACAGGAAAGGCTTTCGCGCCCTCAGACACGGCGGACGGTGCCACAGAACCTGCAAACCTGGCTGAAGATGTGCATTTTGACCATTATACGGACGGCACTCCACAACCTCCCGAGCAAACACATATTCAAGAGGATACCAGCTACCGTGGATTTGCCCAAGATGATCAAGTCGGGGCATTGCAACCGACGATTGGCGGACAAAGCTTCAACCGCCATCACGCAGATTGGGCCTCATACCAGACACCTGTTCGCGACGATCAGCTTGGAGTATTGCAACGACTGACTGGCGGACCCCCCAACAAACGCCAACGCATTAGCCATCACGGAGATTTCGCTGCCACCTTCAACGCGGATACAGCCAAGGTGGAGTACACCCTCACGTACGGTCGCAAGCCCGACCTTCCACGCCACTTCTCCAGTCAGATGATCAGAATCCTTGAAAATCAATGGAGCTGGGGGCAGGCTAGAGCACACAACACGCCTGTGGTTATGGCACATTATATGGGGAACAAAGTACGCTTTGAGTTGCAGGTAAATGGAATTGATCGTATCAGTATAGACCAGGTGTTTCGTGATGAGGTTTGGGGGACCATCCGGGGAATTGAGAAAGTCAACGTTCTGTACATTGACACAACATACGAACGCGGATCTGCTATCTGCCACACGCTCTTCTAGCTGAATTTAACCTTCATTTCGTACACTTGAGTTTCTGTCCAAGCCGGGACTGAGGCATCTCCCGATAAGTTGAGCAGCTTACCATCCACATCCGTCTCGCCGATAACAATTCTACCCCGTGCGGACCCGTCCTTTGCGGTCCATTCCAACTTTCGTTCGTTGGCTACCCCGTCGAACCGGGTCGCGGCAAAGTATTCGAAATTGCCCCTCAGAGCTGATTTTTTCTGTTGAACGTCAGCGATTCGTACAACGAGCTAGACCAAATAGACATACAGCTTCTTCCATGCCAACAGTTATGCAGGATGACCAAGACGTTGGATCTCAAAGTCGGGTGTTTACTGGAGGAAGGCGACCACAGCTGACAACACCACGTATACTGGCGGCTTCCACGGGATTCGCTTCTTTCCTGTCGGTTTCAAGCTCTCGCAGCGACAGGTCGGTATACGCTATGCTGTCGAAAAATCGCGGGTTCTCCTGCGTGTATGTTGTCAGTCGCAGGGCAAGAGGGGTTGGTGGCATGACCAGGTGGGGGATGCGGGACTTCATATACAGCGCTCCCAACGGCCTTGGGCATCAACGGTTTTTTTGTCAGATGTCGGGGGACTGTCGAATCGGGGGGTCTGGCGAAAAAGTAGAGTCATAGCGACGAGAGTCTGCGAACGAAAGAAGATGTCAAGGCTTCCACGGCAACATGTCGCGCGAGGTAAATTTCAAGCCATCCTTGAGATTCGTAAGTTCGCCCGACGGCTACCCCACATCAAGGTCAGGATTGGTGATCCGCCGCATGAACCATTTTCCGAAGCCATCCCTGAGCGTAAAGCTTGGGCCATACTCGGATGACGAATGATTGACACCTCGGTTGCGTCATGTTTCTCACACATTGAATACGTCTTCGAGGAAGGGTATGTAACAAATGGCACGCTAGACTTTGCAATCGCGAGCTGCCTCCCTTGGCAAACGCGTCGCGGTATTGTCTTCTTAATACTGACTTATCTTCATGATTGACCGGGGACTGGGCGATTTTCACACGATGTCCGTCGCCAGACGCGCTCTCCAGATGCTGTGGCCTTGGGTAAGTCGCGCGTGGTCACTGATCTCCCATCTACTCAATCGCAAGGCACTGCCCTGCGACATCGAGCAGCAAATATCTTTGAAAGTCAGTATGCAAACATGTGCCTACTGGGAATGCGTGCTAAGCGACTTGGTACAGACTTCACCATCACCGCAATCCAACACATCACATGAGGTGAGACCCAGACCTCGGAAGCCAGACGCGCGCTAATTGTTGGAGCAACAGCCACCCCTTCCCTCGATCGAATACATCCCCGTCCACGGAGCATGGGAAAAAAAGGACCACCCAAATTGGCCTGCCAGCGCGTTCAAGATCCCAGATGTTATCAAGCCAGGGCAGGTCTTCTACCTTCGGAAGGGCAAGTTTGTTGACATGGGAACGATCGCTCGCATCGAACTGCTCCCCACTGGTGAAGTCGTCAAGACGCCCCTAGAGAACCCTCTCAATCCGAGGGAAGAACAGATGAACCGTGATAACATGCAGTACGAGAACGAGATCTACCGCTTGCTTGGCGACGTCTCCTTCGTCCCCAAACTTCTGGGCTGGGACTCCGCGTCGTGCACTTTGACGCTGGAACATCAGACAAACGGTAGTCTGGACGACCGGAAGGCTTGTTTCCCCGAGCGCCCCGGGATCGAGGTATCAGGCGCGAGAGTGGACGCGGCATAATGTGCCTGACGAAGCCGACGACATTTTCGGCCTGGGCTCGGTTTGTACTTCGTTCGCGACCGCGACGGATGCTCTAGCTAGCGCACATCATGTAGCAACCATCCCGAAGGCGTGCATAGAAGTGGATGGTTTCGGACCATCCCGCGACAGCCTGCTCCCTTCCATGGACAGGTTTCTCATCCTTGCGTCTAGGGAATGACGACACCTCGTTTATGCACTATAACGAGCATACTGGTCTGGTGCGGGTTTGCTGTTTTTCCGGTACGTCATCAATGAGTCATATCCGTACCCGGATTGCCCCGACTCTTCCGATGACGCCGAAGATTTTCCGGTCGTCGTCGAGGTTGCAACCTCGGTCTCGAAGCATGCGCCGGCGAAACCATGGGGAGAGCTGGAGGGGTCTGCCGCTCGATGATTCGTCGGGCGCAACACTCCTGTGATTGGTTGGCAGGTGCTTACCGTCAGGTGCGCGGACCAACGCGAAAATCATCTCGTGTTCACCGGTGCGGGCATTATGCCGAGTGCTTGCTGTTACTAGTGCACGACGCGCCGCTCTCCAGCTTCGCGCGTTCAAGGCCTTGCGCGGTCGGGCCGCCCTCTGGACGCTGTGGTGCGTGGGGGATGGCGCGTCCGGGGCGGCAACCTGGTGGTTCCACCGGCGTCTGGACGCACAGGTGCAGGCAAGGCTAATCTGACCTCGCGTGGCGGATGTGGCCGCCAACCCAGTCTTGGCACCTTTACGCCATCTGGGCTCCATCACCGAGAGTCGCCAACCGTGGCTCCACATGATGGGCCGATTGGCCGGCCTGGGGTGGCAGGATGCAGCGTCTCAGAGCGGCACCCAGGCACGAGCCCAGGGGACGTCTCGCCTGGATGCAGGCCTTCCGGTGCCGCGGGATGCGATCAGCCCCGAAGGCAGGGGTGCTGCCTCGCCCGCACGATCGACGCCGGCGCATCCAGTGGCCAGAGGCACCGCCAGCTCGACTTCAGAAGAAAGCATGCTACAGCTGGCAGGAGTGTGCTGGTGCTATGGCGGAATCGGGTGCCATCTGCCGCTAGGAGAATTACGACCATTGCTCTGCATTGTGGGAAGGGCGTACAAATACGCATGCAAGAGCACCCAGCGTCTGTCCGCATGACAACGCCGACATTCACTTCACCGTCATCAATGGACCAGTCAACATTCAAGCACGAAGCTGTCGAGCACGCCTCGCGGCGGCCGCCTTTCATCCATTCGTTGCTCAAGATGGTCTCCAGTTGCTTCGCCAGCAACTTCGCCACTGATGAAGATAAACGCTTCACCGACCAGAACCTGGGCCTGCCGTGCATCGGCGACCAGTGCCACCAGTTACCTCCCGTACAGAGCCCCCCGATGTTATCTCACAATGGATATCGGTACAAGGCGACAGACTCCCTTCCCGGATTACCAACGGGTATGCCGGTGGTGAAGCCAACTCTGGGATCGGCCAAGTCAGATGCCCAGGATATCTTGTGAGCTTCGAGTCCAAAGACCATCCTCACTTGTTCGTTATGCTGATGTCTAGGCCATCCAAAATCGACGATTCTAACATTGGAAGGATCGCGAACGCAGAGAACCCAATTCTGCTTGACCCCGAAAAGCTGGATTGGGGTCGCAGCAGGTTTACGTCCATTCTGTTGGCTAACCTATACAGCAACCTGTCGATGACGGACATCCAGAAGGCACACGATGCTTTAGAGCCGAGGGGCACCGTTGAGATCTTCGCTCCCGCCACAGCCTCTAAAGACTCGTCTTGGTCGACAGCCAGAATCGTTCCTGTTTTACTGGCCCTTGGTTTCTCCCCCGTTTACCTGCACAAGTTCGAAATTGAAGGTCCAACCAAGAGACACCACTCAACCAGGGCCGGGCATGACAGTGAAGTGTGAGTACAACTCCTACAACACAGCAAGGTCAATCATTGATAGTAGTGCAGCCATTTGATCATTGCGCAAAAGCTGCCGGAGGGCAGTGACGTTGCGCGGAGCCAGGAAGCTACGTATTGTGCGTGCAACCATGGGCGACCCGTCAGTGTCTACGTGCGTGGGTTTCCTTGCCAGCAATTACCTTACCCGCGCGTCACGACGCCAACCCATAAGCTGTACACTTGCTTCGATTGACCCAAACTGTGGCCTCTGCTCTTCCTACGTGAAACGCCGATAGCGTGCATGTGCTTTCGCAAATATCAGACTGTTGGCACTTTTACAGCGCAACTGTCATCGTTGTGCTGTGCCTGATGGCTTGTCGACCAGGGATGTCGCAGCAGGGGCCTTGTGGGTCAATGGCCAAGGAGTCAGCCCAATGTCTCCGATGACAGAACGCCTGGGTGTGGTGTCACCAGGGGGTGCTTTATGGGTCCGGGCCACCAGCCCGACCCCTGCAGTGTATGCAGCGGGAGGGCCCACATCACTTCCGGGGAGACAAGGCTGGTGGAGTGCGGACCACCGATGAACGGCCTCACGTTCCAGCTGAGCATCCTCGTCCGCGGGATTGGGATGTATGTGATAGAGATTCATGATTCACTTGGTTGGAGGGCAAACTGAGGTCATTTCTTCGTGTCGGGCAAGATCTGGTTTGCTACTGTGAACGGAGGCGTACAAGGTCAACGATGAGAAACGAGGGAGGTATGGGGAGGTTGCATCAACCATCCTTCCATTCTAGCTATGAGGTCTTCCTGTGAGCACCAATCCCTCCTACAAGCACCGTCTGCCTCCTGCAAGCACATTTCCCTCCTGCAAGCACCTTCTGGTCCTCCTAGCACCTTCCGGTCCCGCAAGCACCTTCTGGTCCCGCAAGCACCTTCTGGTCCTCCAAGCACCAATTCCTCCTGCAAGCAACAACGCACCTCTTTCTGTTACCAACCCTACGACTCATCCAAATGACATGGCAATGTGATCGTTGCGGGCGGATTCTCGGAGGCAACTCCAAACACCACAAAAACGTCCCACATCATAACTGTTGCGGCACTGTATTCGTTGGAGACGCAGCATTCGAGAGACATCAGAAAAAAGAAGGCAACCACGAACCCCAGATCATACCAATCCCCACCCGCCCGGGGAAACAGCCATTAGCCTGCCAGCATGGCTGCGATGGGCAAGAATTTCCGAGCGCCAAGCTGCGCAACAAGCATCACCAAAAGGCCCATTACAAATGCGGGGATTGCAATGGAATATTCGATGGGTATTCAAAACTGCAACACCAGCACTATTTCGGACACATGACGTTCGCCCAACTGGCTAGAAGTCCGCAGGATCCCGTCATTGTAACGGAGTTCGACAAATACGCCGAGAAAATTCTAGAGCTGGTTCGAGAATGCCTCGGTACGGAAGGGGATCACCCTCGGGAGTCGCGGTGGCATGGTGTTCTCGCCATGCTGAGACAGCTAGTACCAGAGAATCATCCACCCCAAACTGCTCATATAGCGTCTTCAGAGAATCTGGATCCCGCAGCACATGCGTGGCGTCTGACGACCGACAAATTGGACCAGCTCTTGGACGAAGAGGCGCCCTTGAACGACCGCCTCATCCTCAAGGGAACCAGGCCGACGAGAAACGAGGATGCTATTCATCAAGAGCTCTGCGCCAACCTACTTCAAGCCTTCAAGGGCATGGGGCTCTCTGTGCAAGACATGACCAGTACAACGGGCATGCCTGCCAAGATGCCCACCGAGACCGTTGTCAGTCGAATCGAAAAGGGTGCGGACATTCAGGGCGGAACTTTGCCGATCAACCTTCTCGATATGATGTGGGCCGGACAAGCACCGCCAGCCCCTGAGTTCCTCAATCGGCGCCGTTTTGCGGTGACCGCTTTGGTTGATGCTCGTGCGAAAGTCGAGAGAGCGAAAACAGACCTCGTCGGCAAGACCCTCACGAGGACCTCGGCGAGGGGCCAGAAGGGCAACAAGGAAGAGAACCCAAGCTCCGCATTGTTGGATCTGTGGGGATATATTTACTTTATGCTCTTCTCCCAGAAGGGCTCGTTCACGGGCTTTCACTGCGACAATCCCGGGGGAACGTTTCTCAGGATTCTGACCGGGCTCAAAGTCATCTTCGTCCCTGCTCGGTGGGATGAGCAAGAGAGGCAGAACTTTGCAGAGTACGGCGACCAATGGGTCCCTAGCCAAGTCCGAATCATTGTTCTCCAACCGGGGGACACATTCGTCATGATGCCGGGCGGGATTGTTCCCCATGCCGTCCTCACTCTGGAAGATTCGCTCGTGTGTGGTGGCATGTTTCTGGATGCGCGTCGCATCCTGGACACACTTGAGTCCCAGCTGTGGATGGTGGAAAATCCCCGGGTCACGAACGAGCCTGCGCCGCTTCAATTGATCGTTCAAGGAGGCCTGTTGCGAGACTATGTGAAGACGGAGGACCAGGAGCGTTTTGATAGCCTGTGGAGGGAGGTTCAGTCCAGGCTGAGCTGTGATTGCCGCACCTGCAAGACGTGCTACTGCAAGCTAGCGCGTGACGGCATGTGCAACGATGTGTGTCGAAAACGAAAGATGGCTAAAAGCGCCGAAAGAGCGAAGAAGCCGAAGGCCGATGGCCTCGGGAAGAGAAGTGCAGCGGCATCAGGTAATTTGGACCTTGGAACCCGCCGTGGAAAGCGGCAAAGATGAAAATAGAAAACTGGTTCACCCCTCTGTGCCCGTACATTGTCAGATAGCTGTTGCTGGTCGCGAAGATAGCTGGGTGAGGACAACATGCACGCAGATGAAGCCAGACGACCTGCTCCATATTGATCCCCCTCATCAGTCAAGCGGCTTGAGGGGAGGGGCATGATTCCCACCCCATCAAGGAGTGTACACGGCAACCGGCAGAGGATGGCCTCGCCTGGTCCGGGCCTACTATTAGCGACTGTGCTCGTAAGACTGGACGAATCGGCCCCAGATGGGTCTGGATCTCCGTGCTGATCATCATCGCCGAGACGCCCGTGCCTGAGCGCTAGGGTCTGTCGGGCTAATGCGGAAAGCCACTCTCAAGGCGACATTGCAAGATCTACATGGGGTCCTGGTCTTGATAAAGAAGTGACGCCCACGCGCGCTTCAACAACGTCCCATGAGGCCCATCTTCCATTATTTTCAGCAGATCACTCCTTGTACTGCCTTTCTTCCTCCTCATGGCTATCATGGCTATCATGGCGATGCGTGATTCGGCCCTAGCGAATGAGGACCTTGGGCCGCTCTTGATCGGCCTTTCGATTACATTCACCTCAATAGCTTTTGTTCTTGTGGCTCGGTTTTCCATCATCATGTTTATGAAGCGCAAAAGACCGGACTGGCACGAGTACTCGATGATCCTCACCATCCCATTTCTTTTCGCACGATTTACGATTCAACTCATCCAAGAACGCCATCAATACGGACAACATCGGCAGTCCATCTCTGCGGAAAACTACAGGGTTATCATCGCTCTCGACCCATGGGCCCAAGGCATTTTCTTCGGAGGCAAATTCGTTCTCGAATGTTCCAGATTTCTCCTTGTGTTGCGAATTTTCGGCCAAGTCTTCATCTACCACAGGTGGCTTCTGCGAGCGGCGATGGGCGGCTTCCTTGTTACCACCGTTGGCGCCATGGTCATTCTAATCGTCGGTGGAAATGCAAGATTGTTCACATACTGGAGCTACGCAGCCATAGGTAAGGCTTCCGCACTGCAGCGCGTGCCTCACTAACGCAGCCAGTTTACTCCAGTGCTGTCTACATGTTTCGCGCGCTACTCTTGTGCCACCATGTGTTGTGGTCTCAAACGACTAGAGCATCCATATGGGCCAAGATACGGTTCAGCATCATCGAGTGTCTAGACCTGATGTACGTACCGCGACTAGTTGGGGACAGAGATAGTACTGACAAGCCAAGTGCCACTGCGTTCGCCGTTGCCCGTGCTACAGCAATGACCGCCTCCACAGCGGATCTCAGCTGTGAGTTGGTCTCTGACACCGTTCATGTCGTGGCTCTGACGTGATGTCACAGATTCTTCTGCCTTGGTCGCCATCTTGGCCAATATGGAGCTCCAGTTCGGTGTGATTGCGGTTAGTTTGCTTCTACTGCCCAAGGCCAATCGCTTTCTCTTCGACCAGGACAGAAGCTCAACGTCGGATGTTGAGATGGGCGGACGCGCGAGTGCCCCCCCGGCTGCGGTGTCGCGGGAAGAACTTTTACCAGAATAGCTGAAGGGGCTGCCTTGTTCATTGCATCATTTCACACCCGACCGAGTTTCTGTGACGTTGCCTATGTGTTGACATTGGGGTCTGCTTGTGATGCAGAGGTACATCGATCCACCGAGTACGCCGCCGACCACTCGTCAAGGAGCCAAGACTTCCGTATCCAAGGTACTACCGGGTGCATGAGGCGTATGCAAGGTCTTCCGGTTACGCTCCCAGGTACGACCTATCGCAACATGGTGAAGTTCGGGCCAGGAGATCAGATCAATGGAACCGATATCAGGTCCGGACAGACACTACTGATTGATGACCCTGGCTCTGTATACTTTGGATGCGTACATATGGGTGATTCAAAGGGCGGTACGGGTGTCCAGCAGAACGGGCCGATATACAGGAAAGTCCCCGACGGTGAGACAAGAGAAAAGCTTGGTCAGAGGGACACAGTCCGAGTCCTGTCGAAAGTGAAGCACACAAATGTCTTGCTCGCCAAGAAAGAATCATAGTCACATAGCCCTAGAGTGACGATGAATGGACTGGCGTTTTGCCAGCTCGGATGTGACAGGAGTGACGTCCGCCAGCCACCGGTGAGGCCGTGCCTTGCGATGTTGTGGGCAGCCTCAAGTAGTACCTGTTGTGTTCGCCCGACCAGATGCAAGCCATGTTGACACCGCCTCAGTCATTTTCTGCGTAGTGGTGTACGGCTGCGGATGCCTTGAGTTTGGCATGGGCAAGCAAAGTGTACTTAAAGACAGCGGTTGCCCTATCGTCACGATGGCGCCAGCTCTCAGCAACCGGGCCAATCTGCCCCACGGGTCCCGTGAAAAGAAATCAGAGGGATCCAACTCCAACATACGAAACGTCTTATGGGATAAACACTCTGGGTCGCCGGGAAAAGCGAGCAAGCAGTTTATATTTATACAGGATGGTGGCAAACTGCAGCTTAACCACGCCACAGGGAGGTCATTTGTTCGACTAAGGTAGAGTGGATGTCCGGCTGATTATGCCCCTGATGTCACTGAATAGTTTGGGATCGATTTGTCGAAGATCCTCCATCTCAGGAAACCCCTCCAATTTGTACCAGGCAGCTTTCCTTCCTCGGAACCCTTCCATTTCCACTTCAAGTTCTCGTGTCGCTTTGTTTTCTCTCTCTGTCTGTCGATCTCGAAGGTTTCGTTGGGCATCGCGAATCTTCTTTCGACGGCGCTGTATAGGTTAGTCTTTCGAATGATGAGGCTAGTTGTGGGTAAAAAGTGCTTACGTCCTTTGGATCTTGACTCGCCGGGTCCCCTAATATTGGCCTTCCCCTTCTCCGTTTCAATCCCTCTGTGTTACTTCTTGTGGGAAGTGTCGGTGAGTGAAGGGATACTTGGTCGCTTTGAAATACTATTGGTGTCTGTTCGGTAGTATCCGGCACGACATTATAATGGTGAAGAAATGGGTTATTCTCCTGTTCAATCATGCGTTGCGGGAAGAAGAAGGGATCGATCTTGCCAGAGGCGAAGAAGGGGTCGAAGGCGGGATTGACGGTGTGAGGGTTGAAGTAGGAGTGGATGGTGCTGGAGTCAATGAAGGGGTTGGCAGGGATGTTGGTAGGTTCTTGACGGTATCCGCGAGACTCAAAAGCAGGCAAGTTGTCATGATTCATGATTCATGATTCTTGCCGTAGAGGCGAGGGTGAGAGGAGAGGTAAGGGACGAACTTGCTAATACGGCATGGTACAGTCTAATATAAGGCCAGACTGCGTGCTTTTCCGATCCGGCCAACCGCTGCACTGCTGACCGGGGCACGCTGGTCCAGGCGCTGGTGACGCCTACAGGGATCTCCGTGTCCGTAGCGGCTGTTGCCCGGTGGCTTTTGCCGGCGGCGGCTCTTCGACCAGGGATGTGTTTGCCGGCTGCGGCTCCATGATGAACGATAACGATATCTTGCTTAAACCCATCGATGCGAGTGAAGCTGAAAGACTGGCGAACGGTTGGAGCTTTACCTCTTTCGCGGCCGAGGACTTAAGGTAGTGTTGGTAGAGCGCAATGATGGAAAGGTTCGGAGGTGTAGAAGCCCGGATGGGTAAGAGAGGCCAGGCTCTTTGATGTAGTGAGGGGAGTTCCCCTTACACCCACCCGCCGCTAATCTCTTCGTCTCCCTTTAGTGGCCTTACCGCTGATGGAACTGACAGGCAAGGTTCAGGGACTCGGCCCGAGTCTGGGCGGGGCCAACGCCTGGAGAGAGGTGGCCATGGATTGGCATCACGCAGGGTCCCATCATGACTAGTGGCGCTCTTCGCCGTTCAGCCCGGCGCCCGCGGTGGTTCCGCGGCTCGCTAACAGGCAAGGTACCACACCGGTCGTTCCTAGGGTCCAGACCACGGCAGCGCCTGTGTCTTCCCTGTCTCAAGGCTGCATGGCGCACGCGTCGGATAGCTGCACGCTATACTCGGTGTTAGTCCCACACCACAGGGTTGAATCGTCCCGCCGACGCTGCTGTGACGGCATTTCGGCATGCCAGGCTCCTTTGCAGGCACCATATACAAGCAGGCTCGAAGGACAGTCAAGCAACTCATTGACCGGCGGTGTGAAATGACCCTGGCCTCTCGCTATCTGAAGGTGAGAACGGGACCAGGTGACAGGGACGTATAAATGCGTCCTTCTCCAGGCCACCAGCGTTGATCGCTCTCCATGACTCTTGCGACCACCCAAGGCCATGATGACAGATACCACGCGGACACAGGACCAGAACGAGAGACTGGCGTCGCCGGAAACGATCCTAGAACCGATTAACCACGCCTGGGATTTGTCCTCATGGTTTGAGGACCAGAGCAGAAGGAAATATCCCGTCAAAGTCATCGTCAACGACCAAGCGCTCTTGATAAGGCTCACGATGCGTCCTGGTGAAGACAACGATCAAGACTCCAAGACTGTCTTCGAAGACGATGGGATGTCGTAATCGGAGACTCGTCACATCGTTCATCAACCCGTCAAGCCGAGACAATGCCCGACCTGGTGGGTAAGCATCAACTCCCTCCAACGTTGTCAGAAGCTGACATCCTGGACCCGACTAGAAACCAAACGAGCCCGGATTGTCCCCGCAACGGGTGGCACGGGAAGCTATGGAGGACGGCTGAGTTGTGAGGGGGGTGGAAGAAAAGAGGAAACGTGGGCTGTTCGGAATGCGAAGGTGATCGCTTCACACTGTAGATGACCCTGTGGCGTAGACCAACTTGCCCCCGCCTGTCTCTGGCCCCTGACCTGTGGGGGTGGTACCGCTCACCACGCAACCACCCCCCATCAGTCGCGTCACTATAGATATACTGGTGTCTTGCCCTCTTCTTCCTTCTTATTTTTGTTTCGGCTGAGTTGGCTCCATCTTCCTTATGCCTTCCTCTGTACCACGGCAGCCAACATGACATCACTTTCCTCTTCCCCTCTCGCAGCTTTGCCTCTCCTAATGCTATGGGTACCCACCATCCGTACCATCCACATATGGTGGAGGACTAAGGCAGCAAAAGACCATCTTGCCTGGGTCCTTCTTGTGTTCAACACCATCGCGACTGTGACGACAATCGTATGCCTATCGAATAACTGGAACATGGCCGCGTTTGTGTCGGGTATTTGTTGGAGCATGGCTTGGGAAGTAAGTCGCCTCCGAATACGTGGTATATCGTACTAACCTGATAGCAATTGCAAATGATCCAACTCCTCCTCATCGAACGATCCCAGCCTCTTCCTATCTACGTTCCTATCGGTTGCACCATTGTCACCCCGGTCCTGCTCTGTGCAAGCTTCCTCGTGGTAAAGCTTCAATGGCACCCTTATGGGGGCAAAATCCTGATCCTGGTGCTCGTTTATTCGGGTCGACTTGTCTGCTTCCTATTTTCCTTCTGGTTGACCTGGGGCGATAGGGCCAAACGGGTGTTTTTCATGATACCAACAGGAGTTCATCTCGTGCTTCTAGCGGTACACTGGGTTCCTTATCTATTCAAAGATTCATATGAAGTGTTCCTCATGGTAAGAATCCCAGCCATGTGTGTTGAACATTGCTGACGAGGCAGATCCTTCACCTGGAGTGCCCAATCGCGCCAGTTGTCGTGATGATCGCGATCCAGATCGGTGGTGTTTTAATCAAACCCAGCGCGGTCGGTTCCCAATCTTTGGAGCTCGGGCGCCGAATTAGAGCCGAGTCAGACCAGAGCTTTGTCTGCATCGATGCACAGAGTATCTCTTCGGCATCAGTGGTAGGGCATGAATTCGCCAGGTTGGACAGTCAGGCAAGTGTCTCTTTGGAACCCGAGGACAGGGAAATTCTGGTTGGTTTGCGCGAGAGGCATCTCAAAACTCTCCTAGTCCAGATTGCCGTAACAGAGCTGGGGTTGTATTTGTCGGGAAAGTTCGTGGACATCAAAGTCGTAGGGAGTAAGATAGCTGACATCTCACTTGCTGCAAAAGAAGCCAATTTTGGGGAGATGGGCTCACAGATTATGAAGGAGAAAGGGTTACAGATCATGGAGACGATAGGTTTACTTAAGAAGGGGATGCTAGACCAGGATCTGGCTTCTAAAGTTCAAGGGTTGTACTCTCCGCTGACTGAATATGAGCAATTAGCGAAGGGTTGATAGACAGACGAGCAATGCTATGGAAGGTCCCTACACTGATCAGTCAATACATCATACCAAAGTGGTGGCCAGGCCAGCGTTAGATCAGCTGACGCCGAGGCCTTCCGGCGTATGCAAGATCGAGATGCCGAATGCCCGATGACCCTGTGCCCCCAGATCTGATCCCTGTCGTTGGCCGCTTGCTTTGACTTCCCCGGTCTCTGTGTGGACGGCTTACAAGGGTGGGGTGCGTTGGTTGAGCCCGGTGCCTTCGACAACTGACGGAACAACATACAGCATCTCGTCTTCGGAACTTGCGAGTCCACGGCAACCTCTCCACAACACTCTCAACGGCCAAACCGGAAATACAGACATCGATGGTCAACATGGCGACTGCAAGGACGCCGGCGGCCACTCGAAGGATCACGATGGCAAGCACCCGCTCGAGTCAGAAGGCATTCCATCTGCCTCTGCCAAATCATCCCCACAGCTGAATGACGCTGGGCATCGACTGTCTGTCCTGAAATCCCCACCGCCATTACGCGGAATCCGAACTCTCGACAACGACTCCAATGCCAGCAACGAAGTGCTTCGTCGGTCAAACAGCTTCAACTTTCCCATTCAAGGTTTCAAGCCTTTGAATTCACACAAAAGCCAAGGTGGACGGGAGGTTGCCGAGAAGAATGCTCGTGGAAGTCGACGCGTGGACCTCATACGACGCAAAGCACGGTGCCGTGAGGTCAGTGAGGTCCTGCAGGACGACACTGCGACCCTGGAGAAAATCAGACACCAAAGCCCCGATGCCGCCACTATTGCCTCGATGGCCGTAACGACAACCACGCCGGAAGAGCTCGAGTTGAGGGGATCTGACTTGGCACCAAAACCAACAATCCAGTCTTCGGATGACGGCATCATCCCTGGAGACGAAGTGTCTCTCCTTCCCCGCCTTTTACTTCATTGGATGATAGGATACTACAGAGGTTCGCTTGAGGAGATACCTCAAAAGCGCCATGTAGTTGTTCCTCATGTCTCTCTTCGGACTGCTGATAAACGCTGGATCAAAACCTCGACTCGCCGCACATGGAGGGTCCAGTATCGAGCTGCAATCACACGCGGTACATGGATACGTTCCGTCAACTGACCACGGGCGCCAACAAGTTAGTTCGCTTTGTTCTGTGGAAAGATATTGAGCTTGACCACACGATATCAGGAACTCCAGCCTTCAAGGATCAATCAATTACATGCCAAAGTATGGATTCTCGATCAGATAAATGGACCAATGGGCGAAGCGGGCTTGAGAGCTCTAGAACATAGCAAGTACCTTTTTCGCCTGCAGTCTTTCCACTCTACTCGAAAAGGGGCATCAACTACGACAACAGCAGTTCAGTCCCTCGAAAACAGCATTGTCCGAAGCAACGAACCTGAGGGCAAGAGTCCAGATGATCAAACGAATGGGCCTGTAACCAAGGCCGGATTAAAGTGGCCATCTATCATGATAGGACATCATAAGAAATCTCGTGAAGCGAATCCCGACGATCGCAACGTAGTTGGTGCCTATCTCCAAGATTATAAGAAGAATAGTGGTGGACGCTCTTGGAAGATACAGTTCCGCCTTTGGAACAAAACGCGAACGGGTGCACCATATGCGGGCAAGCGATGGAAGCTTAAGAAGAACATCCTATGGGGTGACATACAACTCTTCATGCCGGACAAGAGGAACTTTCGAAACCAATTTGACGCCAAAGCATACCCCATGGGTTGTTTTATGGACAGATATGAAAGACACAGGGACGAGCTTCAAGGTACAAAGGAGCGTTTGCTGTTGAAGTCTGAATTCCAGCAGGTAGAGGAGGCGCGCCGTAAACTTAACCAGCCCGAAGGCCAAGTGGTACACTGGGTTGGTACATCGTGGGGCAATATCGTAGGTAAAGTAAATCGCATCGTAAAAATGGTGGACAGGAAGTGTGGACAGAAATGGACAGAAATTGTACTGGACAGAAATGGTAGACAAAAGTGGTAAGTAAAATAAACACAACCGACACTCAATTCGACGACAAGGATAAACCACTGATTTCGTATTAATGGCAGCTTCAACTTTCCTCATTGTCTGGTTGCTTCCCCTTTGTCGCTCGCCTGGGTAGGACTCTGCCCCTCGGCGGAGCTGATCCTGCCTCTTCACGGGAGTGCTTCCTACCACCTGCCTGACCCTTCAATCGGCCTTCCGTTAGTTTGATGAGTCGATCGGTTTCCTTCTTCTCAAATCTTGCCTGGCGTATCACTTTCAATGACTTCGTAGTTGAATTCAGCTTGGCTGTGATGTCGATAACGCCAACTTGCGTAACCTGGATGGAAACATTGATGACGGTACCCGCCGGGCAACGTCCGAACTTGACGCGGAAGGACTGGAGGGAGATGTTGCTCGTGTAGTCCGTGTCGCCTTCCATGATCTCGATCTCAATCTCCCCCTGATTGTCCTCCTTCGTGAAGAAGTCCCGATTCGCTGTATTCGGTGGCTGCGTGTTGCGTTTCATGATGACCTGGAGCTGGTGCGAGCCATCCGGCTCCGTAGTCACTACACCGAGGGAACGTGGCAGGACCGGGATGATTTGGATGGAGTCGTCGCGACCGATCAGCGCCAGGCCACGAGCCACGGCTTCGGGGGTTGGCCGAGACCATCGAATTGCAGCATTCGGCACAGTTCTTCAACACAAGGAAGGGAACTCGACCCGCCGACCAAGAGGATGTAGTCGAGACTTGCCAAAGCGTCAGGCTGTTGTCTGCGTAGGTCCCCGATCGCGTCCAAGATGGCATCTTTGAGCGGGGCGCAAGCTTCCTCCAGATCGTCCTGAGTGATCGTGACGGTATGCTCGTGGTCTGATTCCGGCAGAATAGTGACATCAACCGTTTCGGCATCTGCTAGATCCATCTTCGCAGTCTCGCAGCTAGCCATGAGTTCGGGAGCATCATGCACGGCATTTTTGGCTTCGCGGAGCACAATCTCCATCAGGTTTCGGTCCACGTCGATTCCTCCCAAGCAGTTATTGCCCGCGGTCGCTTTGATGAGAAAGGTCTTCTGGTCTTCAGAATAAACGAGTGCCGCGTCCATGGTTCCGCCTCCAGGATCTAGAACCAGCACACGTTTGCTGTCCATCTCTTGTGCCGTTTCGTTGGCGTGCTTGTAGTAGACCATGGCGGTGACAGGCTCCTCAACGAGGCGGACTTTGTCGATGTCGAAGCCCCCGATCTGTGCTGAGGCGAGTGTACTTAGTCGTTGCGCAGAGGTGAAGTAGGCTGGGACGCCGATGACGCAAGCCGAAACTGCCTTTTTCGTGTCCTTCTCGACGGCCTGCCTTGCGTTGTGCAAGATAAAGCCGGAAACTTCTTCTGGCGTGATATCCTCCAACTCTGAGTGCAGCATTGGGTACTCGCCTTTCAGAATGGCGTGTGGCACATGCTTTATGTCGTTCGCCAATCGACCGTCTTGCGTCGATCGCCCGATGATGCGCTTGACGCAGCTGTACCGTATGCCTTTGGTATCTGCCCGCCGGGGCAGCGTCCACCTGCCATTCTTGCTATGAACAACGGTGGGACACACGTTTTCGCCGTACGCGATGGATATGAGCCTGCCGTTTACGAAAACACAGCAATAGGAAGTGCCGAGATCGATGCCGGCTATTGGAGCTTTGTCGGAAGTGGGTTGCGACTCATGACTGTTAGCGGAGTTCATGGGTTGTCAATGATGAGCGTACATACCATGCTCACCGTGCGAGACGAGAGGTGTGGGGTTTGAGGGTTGCCAGTGGACGGATGCGATGTAGCGGGAGCGGTGGGGAGGTAGAGTGTCGGACCGTTCCGTGGTGGGAGGGCGCTTCTTATTAATGCCTTGTGTCGCGTGGGTGTTACGCCTGGAAGGAGAGAAAGTCTGAGCGCCAGGTTACCGGCGGTGATTGGTCCTCATGAAGCAAACAAAACAGGGCTCCGAGCATCCCCTCCGAGCGTCTACCCTCCCTCCGTGCGCCCAGAAACGCAGTCGCAACGGGTAGACATTCAAAGCAGCCCTCCACTTCATTGAGACCGTCACGCAGGGGCGATTCATAGGCTTCGATCCCCATGAGGCGAAAGCATTGGACCTCGCTACTTCGCAGATCCTCCTTCCCATCCGTGTCGGCGATCTCTGGGTTTTGGGGGTTGTCCGCGACAAAGGCGAAGTAGCCGCGCTCTTTAGCCCCGAATTTGACGTCCCCGTCGCTGCAACCGGCCAGGTCGAAGCATTTTACGACAAGTTTTGCAGCGATCAACGCAACTTGTTCCAAACTCAATATAGCTCGCCGCTGAGACAACATGGGGGCGAGTCTCACGTAGTCCTCATCGCCACGGCGTTTCACCTTGCCGCAGAGGTTCCCTTCCCTACCTCGCTCGACGCGTGCTTCTGGGGAGACCTTGTTGAATGCATACGTCAACCAACAGTGGGCCCCCTTGGAGAGACGTTGAAAAGCCGGCTAGGGACTGTCAATATCAGCGAGTGGCCAGCCATCATGACGCCTGAGAGACTATTCGATTCGACCAGGAAAGCGTACACAGCGGCACTGCAGAAGAGCCAGCTTACACGCTCCTCCGCTGCAAGTGCCAAGAAGCTCATGACCAAACTTAAGAGCTTCATTGCTAGCAGCGATGCTCTTGCGGATGTGCTTGCTTCGCTTGATAGGGCGCTGGAGTTCATAGAGGAAGCGCAGCGTGCGTCAAGGGATGCTGTTCGGTGTTGGGCCGACTTACTAGCTTCGTAGACGTCAACCATCCACAATCAAAGGCAAGAATTGGCAATCTTTCACCGTTGGAACAACGTAGACCGAGCCAAGAGACTGGAATGGCAACCCTGGTGCCTAGGCCTTCCCTCGCCTCTGGAATTGGCGTTGAGCCGTCACCGTCGTGTCGGACACGTCACGGAGGCGAACCTTATGCCGGATACGCTGGGAATACATTGCATATCTTGGATATAGTAGGTCCGACGACGGGAGAGACCGTTGGAGGCCAGGACGCCCCCTTCAAGCCGGCACTCCCTTGCCCGTGTGCTCTTCAGAAGGAGGATGTGGCACCATGAATGTGGACGTGTCTAGGTATATCGGAGATTCTCAGTCCAGTCGCCCAGCATGCCGCACGCCTCGTCGGTGGTCCGCGGTGGTCGTTCAAGATACTGGAGCGCCCTTCCCAGATATCATTGTCGTCGAATTAAGGCCAGGGGCTTACTGCGGAGCTCTCTAATTAGTTAGCGCCGTCCCGCATTCCCGCGCGTCAAGAAGACGCGTCTCTTACCCACAGTGCGATCAACCATGCCCGTGCCATGCTGCCCGAGCGTCGCGCACGGTCGCGTGGCGAGTCACTAGCATGGACATTGCTGCCGGTCCAAGGTCAACTCGAGTCACCGCGACGCCAGTTGCCTGACGAACGAGGAGGATTGGCAGCAGCACAGTACCATCCGTTTATTAATGCCTATAATATGCCAGACAGCCTCGTTCCCATCTCGGGAGATTCCTGGCCGCCACTGCCCTCTCCAATTTGGGAAACATCGACCTCGGAGCAATCTTCCAAGTCTGCCCGCATCTTCTTCAATGGCCTTTTCTCGGTCCCCTCTTGACAGCTGTCATCACAGGAGTCGTTGCAGTCGGACGAACAGTCGTCCAAAAGCCAGTCATAGTCGGGATCTAAAGTAGGTTCAGGAGTCTCCCTCGCACGCTTCTCCCCACGCTTCTCTACACATTCGTTCAGTGCCTGCTGGTGCGGGCTCTTCTCGCCTAGCTGCAGCTTCCCGGTGCTGATGAGGCCTGTTGTCCAGCGGCCGAGTTTCGAAGTAGTGCCTGCCACGTTGAAAAGGCGCCTGGCGGTCATTTCCACGGCCCTCAGGTGCGATTCGGGGGCTTGTTGGCTTCGCATCTCCTCAGAGACTTTATTGAGCTCATGGCAAATATCGAACAGCAAAGATGTCGTGTAGCTCCATTCCCCGAGGTGTCGGGAGTATATGACTTTGATGTCGTCGCCAAAGTGGGTGGGATCCACAGCTTCGAAATCGTCGGATTGACCACTAGCAATCGTGCCGTAGTAGTTGGACAACGTCCAGAGAGGTATCGAGCTGTGTCAGGATCTTTCTTGGCAAGTCCCACGTTGGCGTGATAGGATGCCTTGCGTTCTTTGATGCTGATTGCTGTCATGGTGAAGGCGAAGGATGTGAAAACAGGGAGTGTGGAAACGAGGATGTGAATACGCTGAGTGTGGAGACGAAAAGTGTAGAAGGAGGGCTCTGGGTAGAGTTGCAGAAAGACAACAGTCGAGGGACTACGCCCTTTTTATACACCATCGTACCTGGCTCTTAACGGAGGGGCACCGTGACTGTGACGCAGTGCGTGTCAATGGCCAGGACGCCATGTCATGTTGGGAGGGTGGCACGGCTCATGCTAGGTGATGGGTTGAGGAGGGAGACCAAGCTGCATGGGCAATATGCGTCGTCCAAACCACGCAGCGTGGCGCGCTCAGGTCTTCCCAGCCAAACTCCCTTTCACTGGACGTCCCCTCGACCCCTGACCAGCAAGGACTTTACATTGCTCTGTATTGATAAAAGGCAGCTCGTGCCAGGCGCTCTCTCCCATGCCGGTATTCACACACCAGCAACAACGGTAGACAGCGAACCCCATGACACATATTCCACTTCCACGTTATCTGCCTCTTGCACATTCACTGCGTCCCCCTTCTTCCCAAACTCGACGCGTCTTCCAACACGTTTGATGTGGGTATGCTGCATGTGACTCGTGTGGGTTGTTAAGAGTGTGTGAAGGCGCCATAGTAGTGCGTACCTTGACGTCAGCAGCTTCACTCGGCATCGTAGGCAAACTTCATTTGATCATAGAAAAGAAGGGGTCTTTACGGTAAGTATCAGCCCAGAGGCTGTCCTATGTACATATCTTACTCCCCACGCCAAAAGAAAGCAACTCATGCTGTGCATCTATCGTTCTGGGCTGCAAAGACAGCCGGATCGATTGATTCTTATGGTACCAACTGAGCTCTTTGATCTGAGAAAGAGAAGGAGAGTACTGCTTATCAGCACCCAGCGCAACGAAACAAGAATCGGCGTCCTGCGCAGAGCGGATGGTCCATCTCGTATCATTCGAGAGAGTCTCAAATTCGAACCCTCGGTCGGCATACTTGTGAACGGCCGCTTCTGCCTTCTCTCGGATGGCTTCAGGAACCCGCCAGCGGTATGCAGCCTTCTTCTGAGCAAGACTATAGTACATATGCAGAGCAGCATGCTTCGTCAGAATACACTGCACATGGCTGCCATAAAACGAGAAGATACTTCTAAACACTGTCTGGAACAGCGGTTCGGAGGTTGCAACACCACGGGGATCTATTGTTCCCACTACTAACTGTACCGAGGCCGTTTTGCCGTTCTTGTGAGCTGTTCCCCACAGAACTCTTGCCGCAACATGGCCCGGATAGTCATGGCTCTGTGCCTCATGAGGCTGCAGAGTAGACACAGAGCCACAACTTCGGATGGCAATTGGATGGAGGTTGTCCATCCATCGTATGGAGCCATCTGTCCGAATATGGGGGGTGATTTCCCGCAATTCTGGGTACGTATTGTGAATAGCATCGATGACAGCTCGCTGTTCTGGTGACCATAGGCGTGGAACAAAGGATGCCTCGTATGCGATAGATAGTATCTGTTTCCGATTCAACGTTATCGAGGCTTCATCCTTCAACTTACGAACTGCTCGTTCCAGGCTGGATTCGAACGTCACCGATGACCGTTCTAGAGCATGCTTGACGGCTAGGACGGAGGACAGCACAGGGGGAACATAGAAGTCCCAGTCAGAGGCGTCTGTGGCGGACCCTGGGATGAAGTAGTCAAGCGCTCTGGATCCTGAAAGTACCGCTCCATGTGCCGCCATCGCCTCCAACAGATCGCCACTGCGAGTGAACGGACCGACACTTTCGAGGTACGCAGAAGGATTAATGCGTCGATGGAGGACTGGTAGTAGATAATATGTCGCGCGTTTCAGTGACAGTACATCGGTGAGTGGTAGTAGAAGCGCGATAGAGGAGATAAGCTCATTTGGCAGCAGTTGGAGAGGTCCAGTTAACGTCTGGGCCATGTTGGCTTGATTTTCTGATCTCTGATCGAAATTAACAAGATACAGATGAAATCAGCATCGAGAGTCAATTATGGTTATTATTCTTCGCTGAGTCCTTTTTTGGGCCCTGGCCATCAGACCCGGATTCTGGGACATTAAAGGGCGTCGACAGTCGGCCCACTATTGGTCCCAAGGCACGTGACTATCTAACGTAACCAATCTTCCCGTTGTCGCTTATATAATCAACGACAATCAGCACGAGTTTTGCTAGCCGGGCAGTGTGGCCGGGCAGTGTTCCACTTTTTCTGGCTGTTCAGCCACAAGCACTCCCGCGCAAGCCACTACTATTGATTATGTAATAATGTCAATCCAGCCCCAGACGGTCAATCCCTACGCTGGGAGGGAATTAAATCTTTCCTCTCACAACCTCGAGCCCATTCAAACCTCCCACGCAACCATGGACCTAGACATCGAAGATATCCAGGATCGTCTGGTCCCCGTGGGTACTCTAGGGGCTCCCCGTGAGGATGAAGAAGCCGAAGAGCGATTTCCACCGATCCCAAATCCCCCAGATTGCCCTCCAGCCGACACGGTTGACGATCTCCAGAAGAGCCTGCAAGACTTCGCGCGCGCCAACGGCTTTGCGATTATCCGCAGAAACGCCAGCAACTACCGCAATGGCAAGCCTACCTACTACAACATCATGTGCGACAGGGATGCGATCCGCAAGGCGGAGGGATACGGTCATCGAAACACCGCTACCCAAAAAAACAACTGCCGATAGTACGGCGTTGCTTCTGCCCGGGCAAGCGACGATTGGAAATGGAGCTTCACGTTGAAGAACGGGGATCACAACCACGGCCCCTCAATCGATCCCTCTGTTCACAAGCTTCATCGGAAGATGACAGAGCAGCAATTGACGCTGCTTGCTACCGTCTCCAAGCACAAGGCTATCAAGTCTCGCGAGGCTGCGGCTATCGTCCGGGATGCTGTCCCAGGATCCCTAGTCAAGCAAAAAGATATCGACAACGCGCGCCAACGACTTCGGCTCGATGCCCTACAGGGCAGAACTCCCGTCCAAGCTTTCTTTCATATCCTACGGGACAGTGGCCTCCGTCACCGAGTCCTCTGGAGCGTGGATTATCCCGACCGCGCTGACGCGATTGTCTGGACGTATCCATGGTGCGAACGCATGTGGAAACGGTTTCCAGAGGTGTTGGGCCTGGACAATACGTACAAGACGAATCGCTTCAAGATGCCTTTCTTCCAGGTACGTTTAACCCGGATGCGAACAGGATGATGCTGATCACCTATTTCAGGTCACGGGGACCACAGACATCTCATCTCTCTTCAACTGCGCCTTTGGTCTTGTCTCCAACGAGCGCCGCGAGGGGTATGACTTCCTGCTTCAATCCATCGAATCCATCCGCACGGAAATTGGTGCCGCCCAACCCCACGTCACGATCACCGATTTCGAGCATGCCCTGCGATCCGCAATCACAGCTGTTTGACCCGACACCCAGCTACAACTTTGCATATTCCATATCAACGCCAACGTGAAGATGAATGCAAAGAAGAAGTGGAAAGGTCCTGGCGGTATCCTTGACGATGAGCTTGACGTGAATCGGGACAAGGAGGCCGCTGAAGCTGCTGCAATTCAAGACGCCATTGACAATGCTGGCCCCGTTGGCCGTCGTGAGCTTCCGGCTACTGCTGTTGAGCATCGACCTTCTGGCTTCTATCGGTTGTGGCAATACGTCATATACGCTGATGCGGAAGAAGATTTTAAGGCAGCTTGGCAGAGGCTCCAGGATGAGTTCAAGGATCAAGAAGCAGTTCTTGAATACGTGATCGGCACGTATATGCCTTACCGCCACCAGTGGGCCCACTGCTACATCAGTCAATATACTAACTTTGGCGTCCGCACGAATTCCCCAACCGAGACCGCCCACAAGGATATCAAGTCGTTCGTTGTCAACGGAAACTCGGATCTCTTCGCTCTCGCCAACGCCGTCGATCAGATGCTTAAGAACAAGCAACGAACATATACGGAGCGCATCGCAGAAATGGAGACCAAAACAAGGCGGATATATCTGGGTCAAGATTGGCTTGGTACGGTATCCAAGGAAGTTGGATATCATGCCTTAGGCCTATTGAGCAAGCAGCGCTTGATTGCCCTCACTGCCTTGCCGACTGCCGAGAAACCAAACCCGCCAGGCCTCCAGCCTTGCCAGGTTCGATTCACTAACCAGTACCGTCTCCCCTGCTCTCATCGACTATTGGAACTATTCAAAGCTGGCAAGCAGTTGACGAAGGATTTTATTCACCCACGATGGTGGCTTCGACAGCCCCTTGTACGTCTGAGTCAAGTTACGTTACTTTGCCTAAACTAACGTACTTCACAGAATGTTGCAGACTCTTTATTGGGCATCAAGGACCCGAAGATTGTTACCTCCTTACGCGGAAGACCCCGAAACGACCGTACCAGCAGTGGCGTTGATACCCCATCCTCCTCTGCAGCACCAGCTTCGTCTGCCGGTCGCCAGCCTCGCCAAGCCAGTAATCCAGCGCCTCGGCCAGTCAGGGCTAGTATTCGGCGAAATCGATCAGCCTTCGAAGACGACGATAGAGAATGGCCACAGGAGGCAGACGAGCAAGTCAAACGCCGGCGCGAAGAAGAGGACGGCGACAATCGCGTTAAAAGACAGCGTGCACCACGCAAGTGCAGTAAATGCGGGTCCTTTGAACACAATGCCCGTACGTGTAGCGATTAGCACCGGATTGATTTATTTGTCTCTTGCAAAATGGTGTAGCACCCCTATCCATTTTCCCATCAAACGTCACGGCCGTGTAGGAACAGCGCGGCTATCAATGGTTCGCCCCATGTATCGGTCAGTGTTGGAACGCGCCAATGAGGGAGTGAAGGGCCGAGCTTGAGGCTGAACTGACATTATTACATAATCAATAGTAGTGGCTTGCGCGGGAGTGCTTGTGGCTGAACAGCCAGAAAAAGTGGAACACTGCCCGGCCAGCCATTTGACACTGCCCGGCTAGCAAAACTCTGGGGAAAAACGCGTGCCGCGATAGAAAAAGCAATATGGGAATAGGATCACGGGGATGGCTGTGATTCTACACACGTATTGGCTATAGCTTGCTGAATAATACGCTAAGCTCACAGATCAAATCAATCAAGTCAAATCGGGCCTCAAACTTGCTGATTTGGGTGGTGGGAATAGCTTCACTTGTTTGTTGAATTTGGACGTTGACTTATTAGATTTGCTTTGGTAGCTGCGCTGGCAGCGCTGCTAATGAAACAAGTAAGTCAAATCTGGCCCGGGATTTGCTCACTTGGTAGGATTCTTGCAAAATACTTGCAAACAAGTAAGTTGCCAAATCAAGTGTATGGGTGCACGTGACGACGGAAGGGGACGTTGATTACCTGATTCGGCCGAAAAGTGAAGGACGAGAGAGTTCGGCAACGATCCAATGCCCACTATAACGCCGCCGTGGGTCTTCTCACGCAAGACTTGAGGAACGAAGCGGAGCAGAGAGTTGGTGGTGGCGAGAGTGTGGTCGCAGCTATAGCCCTGCTGAATATGCTCGACGTTGTGTCGCCTGAACGCCGCCGGCCGAAGGAAGAGGTCCCTAGGTGGCTAGAAGGCGCCCAGGTTGCATGCAAGGTTCTAGACGCCACAGATCCAGGTCACCGATACTGGCACGCCAGTAACGTTCAGCCCTCGGATACCCGAGTCGCCAACGCCATCATCATAAGTCGAGCCGTCATTCTCGCGCTTCCCATGACGCGCTTGGATAAGGCCAATACGGACAGCAAACACTTCCAGTGGTTACTCCTGCAAAGCACGGAGGAGGATTCGCGCAAGATCCATGGTGCTTGTGGCTGCTCTGGACGTCCGGGAACAGACATGCTCTTTACGGTGTTACCTGTATATTCAGGAATCTGGATAACAGGCCCAGGAAGTGCGTTCTCGGCCTTCCGGAGCTACTAGGCCCTCACACAGGCGAGAATATCGCTGGCCAGATACTCGACATCATCCAGGAATTCGATATCGGGGATAAGGTGGCTACTTCACGTTGTTATTCCCCTAGCTAGGGTGTTCGTACCACGGAGCACCGCACCACGGCCCTTCTCGTCCTGGAGGAGTGTGGCAAAAAATTGAACGACTTTCTTCTCCGCCTACGAGCTAACGAGGGACATGTAACACGGCAACTGCTTGCTGGCGTAGCTCAATATGTTCGTACGGCCGCCCTAGACGCCGATGGCGAGCTCTGGAGGTATGCTTACGAGTTCCATAGCAACAAGGAGCGTATGTTTAACCTAACCAATGCTTCGAAGCAAGCGTCGCCCTACGGGGTCCAGGTGATGGAGGGCGTGAAGGTGGAGCTACGTAGGCAGCAAATATTGATCACGTCGTGCGAACACATGTTCAAGGCAAAGGTGCGTTACTCTTGGCGATGGGGCAACACAAGTGGTATTATGATCATCGGATGCCTCCATCCAGGAGTTCCTCAGGACTCGCATGTAGTATAGCTACTATTGATGACGTTTCTACCTCTTTGAATTCCTTTTGCAACTATATTCATGGCACGCAGTGACTGATCGTTGTCTCCAACTACTGTGCGAGTAAATAGACATCCCCATTGGCGCCGTGGTCATTCGACGCTGTACAGATGCACTGCCTCGTATGGGTATGCTGGGACACACGGTTGTACACCAACACAAAGTACATGAGGAAAAGTCGGACTACTGGAAAGGGTTTGGCATTGTTGATACTGTAAGCTGGGCAAGTTGGGCTTGTGGGTGGCAGGAGAGACGGTTCGCGTACACATTGCTTGTCCGCATGTGCTCCGTTTCGTCTGTCGTTCGTCAGCTCGCCGGGTTCTTCAACTTGGGAGCCATGCAACTTGTCGCGCGCTGCGTGATGTTCGAGAGCCAAAACGTGGGGTCGCGTCGTCGCACTCTTTTGCGCGGTGACTGGTCCACACATCAGTTCAGCATCCGCAAGTGCGGATGAGCATTAGCCTTTGAGATAGAAAGTAACGTCTTGGAGTGAAGTCCCAGACCCAATGTTCACGCATCCAACTCGTTTGATCCTTCCGTCCCTAGGCTCGCCTTGTCAGCCGTGATGGCAGCACGCGCTTGAGCCTGCGGGAGTCAACACCGACGGTTCGCATGATCGCCGGAACCAAGTGGTACATTGTCAAGGTATCTGATGGACACTACATATTGCTACCTGAGTACACGTTCAGGCTTGGTCGACGTACTGGACGCACCATTTGCGTGTCTTCAGCGCCTCCGCTTCTTGGGCATGAAGCTCCTCAGCCATATTCACACAGTCCTGCTCGGTCACGCTTTCGCTGATGTCCCAGACATCCAGCAGCACATAAACTAGAGAGAGAATGCCAAAGAGGCTCAGCAGATTCCCAGCAATACTAGCTTGGTCCCAAGATCCATTCAGACTGAGCTATGGCTCAATCACGTCTGAGTTGTGCTTTCGGCGTGATAGCGGAGAAGCTGTGGGTGATTTAGTCGAAAACCCGACTTATGCCGATCACGGGCAAAGCATATCATCGATGATCACATTTCTTGGAAAGGATTGGAGTTGTCTGGCAGGTTGTGAATCACGGGACGACCTAAACCGCCGCGCCGCTCCGTCGAGAGCATCTCGATCGCGAGCCCTTCCAAATCCCGATAAGCTGGACCCATTGTAGGAATAGTAGCATGGTTCTCAGCCAGTTGCCGTTGCCCACAGTGCTCTGGCTCCATCGTGGACCGGCAACCATACTTGGAGTACGTGGGGAGCCACCTTGGCCTTCTTGTACGCGGCATGTCGCCCAGCATGTCGCCATCATGTTGATAGCGCCACAGGCCGGCTTACTATGGGCCTCCAATTAAAAAGCTTTCGGTCAACCAGAGAGCAACAGCACTACCCAAAAGTGGTAGACCTTGCGGGCTCCTAGCGGACCAAGGAAAATCAGATGAATCCTGCCTAGGTCGACCGTAAAAGGCACAGCTCTGAATAGAGTTTCTGCTCTCGGTCCATGCACTGCTTCTCCCCGCCGCTTCATCTCTAACCTAAAAGCGGCCGCCGCGTACGCACTGCCAAGAGTACAATCAGCCAGGCATGATTTAGAGCCGTGGAAGCTGGGGCCCAGTTGGGTGAGTTAACTGGCCAGGAGACTGCTTTGTACAGACCAAGATGACCTTGACGCCGATGCGCTTCTTAATGTCCGTGGCGAAGTCCTTCTTCTTCGTGATGTTGCGGTAGCTGAAGTCGTGGCGCTGGCAGCTGGGCAGGAAGTCATAGCCTCTTCGACGTTCGGGACCCCTAGAGCAACCGTGCGATGCCGAATTGGAGTTTCTGGAGTTCGTGTTGTTGCGCAGTTTCCGGAAGTCGGCCATGGGGCTTTGGAGGCTTTAGCAACGCCTTAAGTTGGATCAAGCGAAGTCCCATTCCGGAGAACGAAGATAGAAATCATCACCGCCAACACAGCGATGCAGTACTGCCCAAGGCCCGTCCCTCCCTGAGGATCCTGCATAGTGACAGACCACGTAACTGTGAGCATGGCAATTCCCAAACAAAGCCAACAACACCCCCCCACCCAATCGGGAGATTGAAAGTGTTATGAACAGTACCATCCCAGCATAACTTGCTGTGCAGAAATTTTAGAAGCATTTTTGAAGCCATAGCACCTGGAATTCACGCAGCGAAGTTTGGTGTGGTGATGCAATAACAGCAACGCCAATAGTCTTGCGGACTTAAAAGCCGTTCTGCAAACGAGTAATATTCGCAACAGCGGTGCAAGAAGTGAACGCTACGGCTTTCTCTCTGATGGGTTGGCGGGTGTTTCTGACGGCGATAGCTTAAAACCACGCCCATAACGGTCGAGAAACCCGACCGATCCTGTGCTTTCGGCTTCTAGCTCACTGGGTGGGGTGCCTTGCCCGATACCCTGTCCAACAGACCTGGTCCTCACCAGGTCCAGTTGTGTCAGGGCATCTATCGTTTTTTGGTAGCTTTCATCGCTGATTTGCCCACCAACGTAGCGCGCCTCATCTTTGAGGTTGATTCGTCTCGCCACAACAAGTTCTTTCACTGTTGAAACAGAGATACCGTAGCTGTTGTCAGCCATTGTTATGTCCTCGAAAATGTTGCACCGTTCATCAGTCAAGGTTTGGCCTGCCTCGGAGACAACGTTGATGCATTGCTGAGGACTCTCCTTCGTCTCTTGCAATCCTGCGAGCTGTCTCAACTCTTCCCGAGACAAAGGTTCTGTCGATCCCATCGCCTGCATTCTCTTGTCAACGTCGATCTGGTGACTTTGAAGCCGTGATACCAAGGAGCGAATAGACCCTTTAGCGACGCCTAATCCAGTCCTGATAATCTTGTGTGCTGACGGCTGCTCTAAGAACTGCTGATGCTCCTTGGATGTTGATTCAAGCTTTTCAATCTGGGCAGATAACTGCAAACAGATTCGTAAGCCTTGGTGAGTGCTCTCTTTCTCCTCCCACATGGCTAGCCATTCGGCAGAATCTCGAACCGGGTTTTCGGCCCCAGAGACAGCCAAGCTCTGTACCCTCTCATCTAATCGTTGCATATGCTCTTGCAGGTCGCTAGTGATATCGCGTATCAAGTCTTTGTATTCTTCGAGTGCATTGGGAGTTATGGAGGCGACGACGCGCCTGCCTGAATGTAAGCGAACTGCTCATTGGGAGGGTTGCATAGTGCATGGTAAATCCTACAGGTTTACATTGGCCAGCGCTATGTTAATAGTGGATTTGTATCCAGCAAGCATCTCCTTGAAGTCAGATATGTCTCCTTTGAGATATTGCTGGCCGATCCAGTCCCGAAAGCTCGGCCGTGGCGTACTGGAATGCTTGGTGCACCGGGCAATGAGGTCGCCATACTCCTCGCAGGTCTTCCCGCAACGGTAAAGAGGAAGTTTGAGAGCTTCGAAGTTGATGTCAGGGTTTGCGGAGACCGTTTCGAGAAGGGACTCCAAAACTGCGGTCAGATCCGTTAGCTCGGTTTTGAGCGCGCGGGCGGTCTTATCCTGGCTCTGGAAGCTGCGAACTGTGGTGTAGAGGGCGGTACTGGATTGAAAAGCAAAGGTGATCAGCGCCACGACACCAGATGCGATACTGAGGCCATCTGCCATCGTCGCTAACTTGAAGAGTGGGATCGGGATACGGAGAAGTGAGCATTTTCAATGCGGGGTTTAGTTCACTACAATATGACGCCATGACGGATTGGCGCAACAGGATCAATTGGTCGATGACTCGGTTACATGTTTATCCGCATGGCGCGCTTTGCTTCTCAGACGGGTTATTGATATTCCGTCATCGCGTCTTCCCCGGTGCACTCGCACGCAGGTTGAATGCAACCATTAAACGCGATCACAGTGTCACACCGGAGCACTTGCGCCGCAGATCCTCAGCTTCCCCGGCTGGACAGCCGGCAGAGAGATGCGAGTCGGCTTGGTAGGACGATGGTTCGGCCTCAGGCTTAGCTGTTGGTTGGTGTGATGTAGGGCCACGACTGCAAGACGCCACTGGCGCCACTGAAGCCCCTTTATACTCAGCCCCATCCAAACCCAAGGACTGATCACCAACTCGACATTAGCCTAACTAATACATACATTCGCCATCCTATTCGTCTCGTAATATATTAGGCCACGGCTTCCGCCGAGTTTCACGAGCTAGCAGAATATAACTGGGTATACTGGTCAGGCCAAGAGCCGTGACTCCCCTGTTGGAGGTCACGGGTGTTAGACGATCAAGTCGGTGGAAAAGGCCTAGAACTTTCTACGGCTACCCGCACCTGTATATAAGTAGTGGCCCCTTCTACCTCTCACTTCATGAAAAAAGAGAACAAGAATAATCCCATTACAACAGGTTATGAGCCCGGAGAGCTAAACCAAATTTAAAGCTGAGTCTCCTACCTAATCATCTGTCCCTTACTCACAAGGACCTCACAGTCCCTTCCACTGCATCGGAGACTCAACAGTGGCCGTCGACCGCTCAGGACCAGGACCCTTCATCCTCCCGTCTCCTGAACGAAAAGCAGGGTTCGAAGTCACTCCACGGAAAGCCACATATGGACTCACATATGGATCCATATCAATCCCATTCCATTCCATCAGCCCTTGTTATGGATTACTGTCACTCCACGGGAGTCGGCCCACAATGGAAATTGTGGAATGCCGTGGACATTCCTGAACCCGTTAGCCAAGGATTGCAAGTACCTCATAACCCTCCGTGACTAGGTCGTGTTTGGAGTATTTCTTAACTATCTTGCCGGGCATAAGACCATGCATACCTGTCGCATATCAAGCCTACCCGGAATGGCTGCTCCCTTCCTATGTTGCTTCTCGCGGCTGCAGCTGCCTGACAAGCAGGTGGTGCGCGTAGCAGGCGACAGCTCCATTTTACATAAAGAACTGGCGATTCCGTGCATCTGCTCATGGAGGACATGTTCCTGGGATAGTTCTCATCCCGCAGACTGATGCAATCTCTAACTATGTGGACTTTAGTTGTCCAGAATTGCCCCGACATTTGACTACCTTGGATCATTCCGGCTACCCGTCAGTATTTCCAGTCTGACCGGCAACATATATATCTTCGGAGGCAAAATATCGGATTACCATGGCCGACAATCAGCCCGATTCTCGAACACCTGTCCTCGACTCCTCTGCGCAAGTGAAGGCGATGGCGGCGGTCCCAGAGCGAACAGAAGAAGACGAACAACGGCTGTTTTGCTCTTTCAGAGGCTGGACCTGTACAGTAGTGTCTACTGTACCATCCAATACCAACACCGGAGTGTCATTTCTCAGTACGTGCAAGACATACAGAGTGGAATGAAGGTACAGAAACAGGGCCCCTTCCGAAACCGGTGCTGTCCATGTTTTGGTCCCTAATCATTCGGATTAGAAGGTCCATTTTGTGGTCCTCCAACCAAAAGGTGGGACGAATGGGAGGCTGCGGGTGAGGATGAGAAGGCAGCAGCTCTAGACATCACGGACAAGGATAGCAAGAAGCTCTTTGTCTAGACGGCACCTCGCCATACTTCGGCTGAGATGCGCTGCTGTTCCTAGTGTACACCACCGCATGATTTTCTCCTATTGCAAACTTCCACTCACTCATTCATTTTTCCGAAGGGCCATGAGCCCGAGATCTCTCGCGCCAAGTACGGTTTGGGATTCAGCAATCCTGCAGACTACCCTGATATCTGAATGCATTTGCACTGCTCCACCAAAAGCCTCTGTACCTCGCATTTGCTGAGCCGCACCGTCTTGTTGTTCATGCCATCCTCACCCAAGAACATCGCGCTCTCTTCATTCCACGACGCTTTGATTCCGTAGCCCTCCGAGCTTCGCCGAACCACCACGTAGGATATCTGACTGGCATCAGCCAGATCTTGGGCTCGCCTACCCTTGCCCCATCCCCTCTTCTGTCCCATCCAAGTGTACTCCGAAACTGACCGGCCGCCAGACTCATAAACGCCGACCTTCTCCAGGCGGAACCACTCGTTCATCCAGCGGCGGGGATCGCGTGCGGTTGGCGCCGGGCTTCTGCACCGCTCAGGTCGTTTGCTCAACTTATGAGCTTTGAACCTGTTCTTGGACCTGGCGAGAGCTTCAGAGATTGGAGCAAAGTAGAGGCTGGAATCTGAGGAGTGACTTCGACCAAGGAGCCGTGGGTGATGCCGTCGGTTCTTCTGCAGACGCTTTCGCGAGAGGCATGTCCGTTCGTAAAGAAAGATGACGTCGTCATCTTCATCCACCTTGGAGGTGTCCGGGGGCGGCGTGCTTTCTCCGAGCTGCAGCTGATCATCCTCGTCCATGAGGCACCCGACCTCGTCAACACTGAGCAGTCCTGTCGTCAAGGGCCCCCAGCCGGGAGAATCGCCGACCCAGCTCGGGGAGCTCTCGGCACAGCTTCGATCCTGCTCCAGGCTGTCGGTTGTAGATAGGGTGCTGGTGTCCGAACACCCTGACGGGGGCTCGGTGAGGTTCGCGGCGTCCCAGCAGATGAAGTCATCGAAGAGTTCGTCGGCCCCGCTCGGTATGCCGTCTCTGGAAAACAAAGAACAATCCATGAGTGCATGGTGGGACTCAGTTGATAGCTCGACTATAGAGTAGTTGGTGAGGTAGCCTTCGTTGTAGTCATCGGCGAAGCGGCTTTCGGTGAAGCAGCCTTCAATGAAGCCATCGGCGAAGCAGCCTTGGTTGAAGAAGCTATCGGTCAAACATCCGTCGCTGAGGCCGTCGTCTCTGACGCTGGTGGTCACGTTGCTGGAATCGACATCATCGGCCTCAGCGGCATGCTGAACAGAGAGAAAATCATCCAACTCATCCAACCCCGGAGGGACTGAGGTCGGAGGCGACATGGTTGGATCTAGGTCCGAAAACAACAGCTCTTGGCATGGCAAGCTGTTCTGCAAGGTTGAGCCCGGCGCACTGGCGACAAGATCGAGCGGGTTCATGGTCGTGAGGGCGGTAAGAGGGCAGTGGCGAGAGAGAGGAGTTGAGAAGAGAGGAGAGACGGAGAGGTCGGAAAGAGAGAGAGGCCGTCCTTATATAGACCTGGATGCCGAGCTCGGCCATGTGACTTGCGGAGCGGCAAGGACGGTTCCCCCTGAAGTCTTTCAACCTCCTGCTTACAGCCGAGGAGGCGGCCTCCTGAAATCGGTGGCCTGGCACTGACCGACCTTGTCCTCGCCTGCTTGTGCCAGGAGTCTGTTGACGTGGCGTCGCATGCCCATGCCTCCGTCGTCCCCATGCCGTGATGAGCGTGGATGCGTCACGTTACCTGGGCCTCGAGGCACGAGAAGGAGCCAGACTCGGCCTCCATACCACGCGCAAGGCAGATTCGCCAAGGACATGCATTTCAAGATCTCAGTGGTCCCCAGCTTCTTTGCTAGAAGTTGTGTTGACGACCCAACGGCTGAGTAGCAGAAGCCAGTGATGGAGATGGGTACAGCCTCAGTTCGGGCAACCTTCTTCCAAAGGGTACCGACAAGCGGACTGACAGACGGCAGGGGCTCTGAGTATACGATCCGAGAGTCGCCTAGGACCTAAGATCTCGAACCCACAGCGATGCGTGAGCAGCGTGACACCTTGGGCTATCATTGGCTTTAACTTTAATGAACTCTTGAACTTCTACGCATGACACATTGAGATACCGCTGACTTCCATGAAACTCGAACTTGTATTGACGCTACTTGCTCTGTAGCCCCGCTTCTCGTGGCGGACACTGATCGCAGCTCAGCGCCTCTGGGGAGGGTGCCATGACCGGCAGACCGTCTTCCCCGGGTGCCTTCCATGGTTTCATCTTACATAGTTGCGTCTCGATCTCCTCCATGGTGATGTCGGGCATCTCCACTGGGTTCCTCCGTGGCGGGGAACACTCCTCCACTATGTCTTGGGGCAATGGTGGAAAGAAGGTTGCGAGCAGTTCCCGGGTCTGTTCCTGCGGGCTGGTGGTGCGGGTCCCGTCTGTACGGGTAAATTGGGGTAACTTGTCGTACTTCACCCCTTGTCCTTGGTCCAGGTATTTGGCCGCTTTCCAGATGTTTGCGTTGTCGGCAAGGAAGTCTTCCCAATGAGTCTTCTTCTGCTTGCGGGTAGCATCATGGTACTGTTTTGATGCATCCTTAGCTAACGGAGGGCGAGCTGATTCGTGTCTGCTGTGCGACCGACTATCTTGGCAGCAAGGCTTAGTAGGGTTCCGGTTGGGGGTACCTTCACTCTTTGCCAACGCCTTGTGTTTTCTAGGAAGTAGCGACGACGAATGTCACCGGTGCAGGTTTTGATGGTTCGTAGACGGACGTCTCGACGGCGAAACGGCGTGGCTCCCAAGCGTCGACAGCGTCGTTGTTACATGTGGATACGGAACCGATGACGGTCACCATCGGGCACCATTGCTCCGGCAAGTGTCGGCGATATTCGTCGAAGTCAGACACGTTTACTGGATGTTTATGCGGGTTAGACGGATCGAGAATGGGAATGGGGTGGCAGGCACCTTTTAGGTTGAGGGTCTGGGCGTTGATTTCTAGGACGCCGTCCGGAGAAAGAGACGCAGAAAAACGGCCGTCGGCAAAGAAAAAGGTGTTGGGAACGTAGAGTTCCCTTTCTTCTCGCGCGAGATACGTGTGAATCAGAGCGTGAATGGGTTCAACTTTGGCGCCCGAGCTGTAGAAGCCATCCTCCTCAAAGATATTGATGTCAGCCTGGATCTCCACGTAGTTGGGGGCGTTTCCCCGCGTCGGGTCGTCTATGACATTGTCCACAAAGTCGCGTATGTGGATAAAGTTCGAGAACGTCGATTGTAGAGACATGGCGAGGACTGTCTGAGAAAATAGGTGGAAGGATGATACGTTGTAGGCGTCACGGGGGAGGCAGCAGCTTGTATAAGTAGGGGGCTCCTCATTCATGATGTGCCGGCCTTGGTCGAAGAGTTGGTTTGTGCGGCGTCGTATTTGGCGAAGATGGCTACACGTCTCTTAGGACACGATTGGCGAGCATAGAATGTGGCTTGCTTCCTTGCAGGGGTGGGAAGTCTCCAACCACATTCTGGACGGGGACCAGGGTGGGTTAAGATTGAGACAGAGGGAATATTTCTTGGTTTACGTCTTAGGCTAGAGGAAGTGGTGCTCCGAAGCCGACCACGACAAAGGCCGGTGGGATTGTGACTCCTACTCCTATCCAACCGGGAATGATCAAGGGCTGCACCAAGTGGCACCCGGTCAAGTCCACGACTACCTGCCAGGGCATCCTGGACTACAACAAGATCACTCTGGCTCAATTCTACAAGCGGAACCCTGCTGTAGGTAAGGATTGTGGCAATCTCTGGGCAGACACGAATGCGTGCGTTGCTGGACCTTGATCGGGTAGAAGTGAGGGATGAGGCAGAGGGAAGAGGATGTATGGTACCAATCATCTCTCGGTATAGAAATTCACACTTCTAGCCTCTGCTCTGTTGCCAAGGAGTTGTCTGTCTCATTTATGGCATCCACGTGATGTTAATCGAACAAACTGACTTCGACAAGCTCCCTTTTTGGATGAACATAAGGCCCAGTGCATGAAGTTGCCCATCATCAATCAAGTGAACCAGCATGCGAATGATCTCTAGCTTTGGTGAGTTCATTGCGGAAAGCAACGGCAATCAGGCCGTCCTAACAAGATTAGCGGATTCCCTCACCTTCGTAAGGCCGTCTCCGAGGGTACATTAGCCGGGTCATTGGCTCCATGACAGATGGGCCATCCGGTGCTATGGAGGTTGATTCTATATCGTAGCGAGCAGATGCTTATTGTAGTGCGTCCTTGCGTCCAAAATTCATGTGAAGTTTGAATTGCCAGGGATCGCCAGACGTGGGGCAGGCGAACAGTGTCAGACAACCAGGGATCCTGATTGAACATGGGAAAACCCACACAAGAACATAACCATCAATACGAACACAGATTTCTCGTGACATCAGATCACCCTTTCCAAGACGTCGAGTTGCCCTGATCAGGGCACGTACGTCTGACAGGAGCAGGGCTCGCAGATGACGGCGGCTCAGAGGCTGAACAAACAGGCGCTACAGAGCGCGTGCTGTCGCTAGAAGCAAACGAAGCGAGGGAGGACATTTGCACTTTTGCTGGTCGAACCGAATCTCAACGCGATTCCTAAGGGAAATGAAGGGGTATTAATCCCCGTCGCGGCGGGACCGCCCAAGGTGCGCAAGGGTAAACAATCTTCCGGCGTATTTCCATACGTATGGAATACGGTCATCTCGTATGGAATACAGGCAACCCCATATGGACGGTTCCATATGGATTAACTTAATCCATACGCTTATGGATAGAAAGCCTGGTAGCCCTGACAGAAGAAGACGGGCACCTCTGAAAAGCATTTATTGAAGAGATTCCTGGCAGTATCTGAATGAAAAGCTATTGTAAAGTCCACACGACGTTGAGGCGGCGTGCAACACATGACCAGGCACTCATAATGCAAGAACAAGGATAGGTGAAGAAGAGCGAGAGGACATGTGAGATGGGATCCACGAGGTCGATGCTCCCCCCTCTGCGACGGACCGTGTGCTACCTCGGAGGTATTGGCGGGAAGGGTCTGGTGTGGTGTGAGCACCAGCTCTGGCGATGGGACAATCACACAGCAAGCACGTAGCCTGCATGCGGGGTTCCTAGATGGCCGAATCAGCGATTTAGTCAATATGGGGGAATGGGTGACTTGCTATCCTCTAGTAAGTGGGTAGAGTGTTCATTACGCACGCGAGCTTTGAACCCTTGGCGAGTTCGTCAGGGTCATCTGCGGTATCCGAGAGCACGGTATCGTTCGGTAGAGTAATAGCTCGGTCAAGAGCATAGGGAAGTCCACGGTGGCGACCTCTTATCATCATGGCGCAGACAACGACTTTGCTGAAGACGGTGTAGTGGCCGACCATGGACGTGTAGCCGAATGGACCACCAAGCGATAGGCCGACGTTACCGCTGCGAAACATGTTAAGCGGCGAAACGAAAAGCTGACGGGGTTTGCGGAAACCGCGCAGGGATACTTACTAGGCGGATGTGACCTCGAAAAGAACAGGGAAGACGGAGAAAGACTGTACACCAAGTCAGAGGCCTGCAGGAGCTAGGTTGTGGCGATGGGAAGTCTAACCGGTTCGTCAAGGTCCATGATGCGTTTCGATTCGGCGATACAGATGAGGAAGGTTCCGAGGAATATGTACCAGAGGTCAAAGGTGAGCTGGTTGCGTACGTGGACCAGGACATAGCTGATACCATTGTGCTCGTCCAGGTTGTGCTCAGTCGACCAGATGCCCAGTGCGCGGTCTTGGTATGTGTTGGAGGCGCGGACGCTAATAGCAATGGGGAAGATGGCGATATACATCATCGTTAATAGGCTGAACTGAACCGCAGGGTTAACATTCGCCAGGTTGAGAGTGGATGTGCCAGTATGCCGCGCCGAGGCAGCCTGGAAAAGGGCTGATAGAATTCGGGGCCCCATAGGTAGATCGTTAACAGCGGGGTTGTCTAGATCCAGGACGATAATCAAGACGACGTCGATAAAGTTGAGAGCGAATATGATGTAGAAAAGGATCCAGGTTGGCCGACTAGGGAACAGCAGGGTATAGCAGCGTCGGGGGTGGTCAAGAAGGAACTGTAAAGTTTCGCGAGACTGCGAATTCCTAGGCACCATCTTGTACACAATCCAGATAATCAGGCGGAGCAGGACCGGATAGCAGGTATTTCCAGCGAAGGCCAGGAAGGTCATGACGAGCATAGGCCAGGTAGCATCCTTGAAAGTTGCCATTGAATCGGGTGTCAAAGTGAACCCAAGGTTATCAACCATGGTCTGTGCCGAGTAGAAAGCCCTTGAGACATGTTAGCATATCCCGTGGCTCAACAATTGCGGACAATATCCAAGTCCCATCACAAAGCCCAACGGTAGGCTAAGCCGGTCAGTCACGTACCACCAGGTCTTGCCCACGCTAGACTCTTCTAGCCAGTCGGTGTACTTGGCAGGGGCATTGTGAATCCAGGGAAGGAGGCAGACAACGCCGAGTACGTGCAGCCCAATAAAGTATCCTGGATGATCATGTCAGCGATCCTAGACACGGAGACCGGGTGTTCCTGGGAGTGAGATGTGAGGTGGGGCCTGACATACCAAAGACAAACTTTAGAAGTATCTTCAGGGCACGATACTCGATGCCTCCAAGAAGCTCACGATCGGCCTCGGTCAGATTGTAAAAGTTGGAGTTTCGACCGACGGTAGCATAGCGAGAGAGCTTGGGTAGGTCGAGATTGCGCGACCTCGACCTGCTGCGGCTTACAGGGCGGGGACGGGCATCACCGAGAATGAAGGCCGAGGCGGCGGCTTTCTCGATGGACTTGGCAGCATGAAGAACAGGGCCTTCGGTGTAGTGCCGCAGCCTGGCACTCTGCGTGCGCTGCACTGGCTTGATGTCGTCGGTGTCATCTGCATCTGAGAAAGCTCGTCTGCAGGTCACAGTCGACGTCGTCGCAGCAGAGGGGAGATTAGTTATCCCACTCACATCGTTGTCTTGATGGTTGACACCATGGCGGGGATCGGGCTGGTCTGTACTCGCATGGCTGTCAGCTAGGATGCTGTGTCACAGGAACGTCAGAGTCCCGCGGTGGAGAGCCTACCTATGTCGGACTGTCGGGGAGCAGGGCGGAGGCGATGCTGCTCAGATGCTTGGTGCTTGGCATCGCTTGGCCGATCGTAGAAAGTGATGGTCGGCGATCTGCTGGCCTTTGGCAGGGTGGGAGACGGAGCTGCTGCGGCATCTTGATCTTGGTCGGCGCCTTGGTTGGCGCCCTGTACCTTCTGTTCTGACATCTTTTCCTCGTCGTCGTCTCTAGCAGCAGCGGCGGCATTTGCGGGGCCTGCGCAAGGCGGTTAGTGTATGGCCTATCGACAGTGGAGTTTGCACGGGTGGTAGGGTCACGCACCAGCTTGCTTGAGGAGGCGACGGAACCAGAAAAGCCGCACCGGAACGACCATGGCGTTGATGAACATGAGATTGGTGATGATGGGGATCACGTAGATATAAACCTGCTGATAGGTCTTGAGGTCCTTCACATCAACCCTATCACAGCATTGTTAGATCATTCACTCCTCCAAAAATGGAGCTGCCACGTACGTGTTGAGGCCAGACTCAGTAGAACCGCTGCACCCAAAGAAAAGCGCGTCTACTGCTGTGAGGTTGCCGTAAGAGTACATGACCGGGAAGGCCAGCAAGCTGCAGAACAGAATCCATGCATCTGTAAAGCAGGATAAGTCAGTGTCCAGTATGCCAACGACAACTGTATGGGTGGCTCCGTCACGTACAGTGGATTCCAATGAAGTTGAGCCGTGGCTTCCATGCCCCAATAATGATGGTCATGACGACGAAGAAACTGGTCGTGATGTGAGGCTCGGATGCTGTATTAGAAAATCTGTTTACATAGAGCGCCGAGGGGGACCACGTTCGTCGCGCTGGTATGCCGGCGTCCTTTTAAGTGCCAAGGGAAGGACGACGAAATTCAGGCAGGCAGGAAAAGAGACGGCCTGGAGGAGTCTCTCGGACACAGTCCACTGGCGACGTCAACCGGGCCAGGCCCAGTGGATGATCGCGCGTGTATTGGTACGATGTGTTCTGGCTAGGAGCACAGCACATATGAGTTTTTAAGGGTAGAGGTACCTAAGTTCCCCGCGCAAGAATACAAAAGACCCTGGCTGCGGGACCCAATGCGCTATTTTTCTTCCATAACGTCCGAGTGGCCAGGAGGCTACACTAACGAAAACGTTAGCATGTGGTCAGGTACACTAACACTTTCAAACAATATCTGCGTACAGTCGCACATAAATTTGTTAGTGCAGCCTACTCGCTTATCATGCACATGAGCCTGACAGACCATCCTGCTAAGACCTTTTTTAGTGCGTTACTCGAGCACAGGTCAATGGAGGCCTCCCGTCAGGTTCACCGAACATTTAAGGAGCGGGCGCTTGATTTTCGTCAGAGCCGCGTGCAACCGTCACCAGTCGAAAGCTTGTAAGAATTGGGAATGACTCGGCGACAGACAGGTTTAACATGACCTCTGACATGTGAGCGGCGGTGAGCGTGGCAAAGACACGCCCCGCCCCCTCTTCTCGTGATCCATGTACCTATTTCCCTCAGTGGTGGCCTCGATGTTCGTGAGCCGGGGGAGCAATCTGCACATAAGGATGATGGTCTTTACATGTCTCTTAGGCATCCTACGGCCATTCTCCTTATTTACTCTGGACTGTGCAACAGCTTCCGGTATACCTTGAAACCTCTCCTCCTGTGGTGTCCTTCTCATTTTTGGTGGCTCCGACGCGTTCAACGTTGCCATTGCCAGCCTCGGGGGCTTGCTCCTCGCATCTGGCGCCATCTCCTCGCTTGTTAGAGACCGATACTACCTCTCTTTCGCCAGTAAGTCCTGCCCACCCCTATCTGTCAGATTTCTCCTGCAGAATCGAGGGCCTGATACTGCACGTCTCCAGCTTTATCTTTTCTCGCCGGCCTCTTCCTCACCACATTCACGGGCGTTGTTGAGCCTGTACACTTCGTCGACGATGACAGCGTCGACCCCGTTACCGCCATCACCCTTGACTTGAGTCGCCTGGTCCTCGGAGTGCAGCTGCTCTTCGCCGGCGTGTCGTTACCGAGTCGCTTCTTACGTACCGAGTGGAGATCGCTGGGTCTGCTCCTTGGACCCGGTCTCGTGGCTATGTGGTTGTGCAGCGCTCTGGTCATTTGGTTGCTGATTGCAGGACTCCCCTTCATACATGCCGCAGCCATCGCCGCGTGCATCGCTCCGACGGACCCCATCTTGTCGGTTGCCATTCTGGAAGGGCGGTTCGCGGACGAGAACGTGCCCCGTACACTGCGGGATCTCATCATTGCCGAGTCGGGTGCCAACGATGGCCTGGGTTACCTCTTCCTCCTTTTCGCTCTCAGCTTGATCAAGCATTCTGCGACTGCCGCTTCTGTAGTCAACACTGGAGGCCTCGGCGCTGCCTTGGGTGGTATACCTGTCTGTGGGTGGTCGGGGCCAGCATCGTGTATGGCTGGCTCCTAGGACACCTGGCCCGTTTTATCCTCCGTTGGGCAGATGGTAGGGGTTCTCATAGACCGAGAGAGTTTACTTGCCTACTCTGTGGAGCTCTCTCTGTTCATCCTCGGCACATGCGGCATGTTGGGAATCGACGATGTCCTGCCGTGCTTTGTCGCTGGGAATGCCTTGACATGGGATGATTGGTCCCGCTTGGAGACACTCGACGACAAGTTTCTGCTGTCAGTCTGACGCAACGGAGACATCAAAGATAAGCATCGTTGTTCATCAATTGAAAAGTGCCTGTCCTTCCCATGTAAAAGACAGGTTCTGATCCACTATGTATAGGTGCTGTCTCTGATACGGTTGATTTGGGTGAACCAGCTCGGTCGAACCCGGCCGAGTGGTTAAATAATCTGATAAGAGATAGAGCTCCAGAGCTTGACAGCTGCGCCAATCTTGCACAGGTAACCCTTCAGTCGTATCATCCCCGTTCGTAGTTGTTCGAGCACTCTCGCTTGGGCTGCCGTCAGCGCATCGTATATCCTACGCGTGTGCTTTCCCGGTAGTGCCGTGTTGATTCTCTTGGAGTATTTGCCCACTTCGTCCGGTAGGGTCTGGCAGTCTGCTTGGCCCTTTCTCGCTACCGCGAGCGTGGTTGATGCCGCCCGGTACGGACTTTTCACCGGCAGCTTCTGCGGGTTCGCGTTTCGTTTGACTGCTCCCTTCGCTGTTCGCGTGAGGTCTCCTACGGTCTCAGTGGAAATCCATCCGATCGAGACGCTGTTTCCCCTGCTACGTAACTTGCCGATGGTGGCATAGATGCGCCGTATGTCTTCCTGTCCCGACTGGTGGTGTGGTCGGCTGACCGCTTGCGTCGCTGCCTTGTTCCTGGTGAGTATCATGATGTTGCCGTATTGGAGCTGTAACGGCAGCGCGTCCAGCGCTCTGCTCATGGCTGCAAGCTCGGCCGTGAATGGGTTTTGCTCATCCCGTGTGCCCAGCGTGGCCGCCACCATGAGCTGGGCGGTCCTCGAGGGCCGGAGAACTCCGCCGATGCCGACCATTTCGCCCCTGATTGACGTGCTCGTAACGATGACGGTGCGACCTCTTCCCCCGCCCCTTCCGTGGTGATACTACTGATGAGCACCAGCTTATGGGAGCTGGGAGGAACGAGCGGCGGAATAAGTGGGGCGTGGCACGGGTAGTGCATCCTTGCCTCCAACCACACCTCCAAGCCCTCGCACTTCCCGAAACCACTCCCCGCAAGTCTCAAAGCGCGGCTCCGAGCATCAACGTCTTCCCAGAGATCTCGTGCCACTTAGGAATCTTCAATCTGCCTAGCCCCATTTTAGACGATTGCGGCTACATCATTTCAACCCTGTGGGGCCATTGACGACCAATACCAGCACCATCCATTTAGCCGACACATGCCAGGCTTCACGAGGAATACCGATCCGGAGACGGCCTTGATGTGTTCTGAATGCACCGACGAGCTTGCTTATGACCCTGACGGCCATTTGGCTTCACACCTCCCAGTTCTTCTGCCATTCCAGGGGCTCAAAGCGGGCCCATAGTGAGCACCACTTCAGGGCCCTGGAGAACCGTGGACATGCGCGTAACCCTGCATTCACGTGCATCATACAACACACTAATCGACGCTGGTGACTAAGAAATGAGTCAGGTATGCTACACTGATTGCTTTGCAAACTGTAGACCTGACAGCCAAGCGGAAAACTCAGGTCTGCGCCATCAACGACTGCGACTTCCAGGTCGCCAACCAGGCGGGCCTGAGCTGGCACTCACCCCTGGCTCTGCCGACATGTAGCTCGAAATTTGTATTTGATATCGCCCAGACTGTCGGTGAATGTATTGTGTAAATCGTCGTCACGCCTGGCAGCGGCGTCGATTGGGACGGGAAAGCCTGACTTGGCTGGCTTGATGCTTTTGAGGACCCCAAAGTAGAGGAGAACCGGAGGCCGATCGAGTCCCGCGGGTGTCTGAGGCAACTACGAGGATGCGTATATGGAGGTGACGGTTTTCGATAAGAGGCTCATGTCTTTGGTTCTAAAACTGTTGGAACATCGCGGCCAAGATACATGCGGCAGGTGGTATGTGCTCCCACCTGGGAGCGATAAGCCTTATCGGGGTCACAGGACGTAAGGCCCATCTTGGCGGCCATCTGCGCGTCTGTTAGGTAAAAAGTACAACACCAGATCCACCAATACGAAGCCTAAATACAGTACTATTTCGGCTTCACCAGTGGTTCGAACCCTACCCCTGTGAAACCTACAGAAACTTGATGTAAAGAAAAGAATGAATTCATCTGACAAAGTGTCTTTCCGTCCCTTTGTCCTCTTCACCTGCGTATTCGAATACCTACGGTGTGCCCCTGTGCTCCGATGTGTTACCTGGCTGTTCTACTGCCTGCTGCGCCGCACTTCTGTCTTCAGGGGGGGACAAGAGAGGTCTTCTGGAAGGATATGGCTCGCCAGGGTCGTCGATGAGGCGTTCGCTGGGCAGTTGGATGGCGCGGTCTACCTCGTAGGGCAGGCCGCGATGACGACCACGAATCATCATAGCACAAATAACGAGCTTGCTGAATACAGATAACTGCCCCGAGAAAGAAGTTTCGACGGCTGGATGGCCGAGACTGAGCCCGACGTTGCCACTGCGTGAACGTAGGTCAGACCGGCGTGAAATTGGAGTGGCGGGGCAAGCTACATTGACTTACTATGCAGATGTAACTTCGAAGAAGATGGGAAACACGGCGAATTCCTACCGTTGGCAGTATTGTCAACAAAATCTCTTGCATCATGGAGCTGGCCCAGTGGCAGAGCTCCAGTAGCTGGTGGTGATACTGACCGGCTGTGAAGTGTCTCTGACCTTATCGGACTCGGCGATGCAAATGAGAAAGATTCCAAGGAACACATACCACAAGTCAAAACTAAGCTGGTTCCGTATATGGGCCATGACGTACTTGCCGCCAGTCGGTTCCTCATCCGGGTCGACTTGCTCGGGAGCGTACTTCCCCAGCGACCTCTCTTCGTACGTGTTGGAGGCACGAATAGTCAGAGCAATGGGATAAACAGAGATGTACATCATGACCAGCAGACTAAACTGGGCAGCCGGATTGAGGTCAGCCAGGTTGAAAGTGGAGGTTCCCGTGTGACGCGATGAAGCGGCTTGGAAGACAGCAGCCAGGATGCGTTGCGCCAGTGGTAAGTCGGTGACAGAGGGATTATCCAGGTCCAGAACGATGAGCAGGAGCGCATCGATAAAGTTGAGAGCGAACAAAAAGCCAAAGAGGATCCAGGTCGGACGGCTGGGAAATAGAAGCATACAGCAGCGGCGGGGGTGCTGAAGGAGGAAGTTGAGCGGCTCCCGAAGGGCTGAATTCCTGGGAACTATCTTGTATATCGTCCAGATAACGACGCGTAGGAAGATTGGGTAAAAGTTGTACCCGGCGTACGCCAAGAAAGTCATGATGAGCATGGGGAAGGTGGCATCGCGGAACTGGACCATGGAATCCGGTGTCAGGGTGAAGCCGAGATTATTTGCCATGGTCTGTGCGGAATAGAAAGCCCTGATGCATAGTATTGAGCACAGATTGAAGCACCGCGTAAGTACAGGAATAGGACCTACCACCAAACTATATTCTGGCCTTCCTCGTCGAGATAGTCTGTGTACTTGGAAGGGGCGTGCAGAATCCAAGGCACAAGGCAGATGACTCCGAGAACGTGGAGGCCGATAAAGTAGCCTTTTGTACGTTAGTTACATTTTTCCACTAAGTTTTATTTCACAGGAGGAATTTCCTAAGCAAGATCAAGACTCACCAATGCAAATCCAAAGAAGCAGTTTCAAGCTGCGATACTCGATGCCACCGAGCAGCTCTCGATCCTCGACAGACAACCCGTGGAACTGAGAGTTCCTACCAACGGTCACTTGCGAAGACAGACGTGGCAGGTCTGATGAACTGGTGCGTAGCGGTGCTGACCTCGACGCGGTGCGATGAATGTGGCTCCGCTCACGGGTGTGACTATGTGTCTGGCCCAGGACAAACAGCGACGATGCAACACGCTCAACCGAAGCGACTTTCTCCAGGTCAAGGCGGTTAGGACGGTTCCAGCGAGACTCTCTATCACTTTTACTGGTCATGGCAGTGGCCGATCTCCTGCAATCTTCCTCATCTGTTGCGACGTCGGATCAGCCAAACAATTTCCGAGAAGATGACATTCTTCCCTTGTTACCCTTACCAGCAGTCTCGCCCGCCCCCCCCTGTGCTTCGAACGGACGTCCTTCATAGTGTAAGTTTTGATCTCAGACCAGAGGATGACGGTAACTTTGTGTCATACCTTGGTCACGTTGATTTGGAGGCGGGATGTAGAGGGTTGTAGAGTCCATACGGGGATGGTGGAGCACCGGAGCGAATGCGATATGTGAGCGATTGTCAGGCATGCCATCTTCGTCACCCAGCGGCAAATCTGAGACAGATCTCCGTTTGTAGGCAGGACCGCCCGCGTCGTCCTCCTGCGGATCCGTATCAATCTGCGCGGAATCCAGGGCAAAGCTAGACAAGACCGAGTTTCCGGAACGTTGAGGCTCTTCATTGGCAGCACAAGTGGGATCAGACGTTGCCTCTACTGCGGAGGCCGGAGGAGAGCCGTGTTGATGCTGATCGGGGCGTGGGCGTTCGGACTGCCTAGTTGCAAGGTCCCTAGGGTGATCGGTGGGCACAGGATGGCATTGGGGGCGGAGCAAGGACGGGGCTATGTTGCGTCAGTATCACCAACACCCTGGGCAGGGAGGTGGCGGGCAGTACCAACTTGTCTGAGACGGCGTTCGAACCAGTAGAGACGAGTGGCGACGACGATGATATTGATGACGGCCATGTGGCTGAGTGTGGGAACAAAGTAAATGACGAGCTGCTGGTATGTTTTGAGGTCCTTTACATTGAATGTATTAAGCCCGGACAAGGTGGAAGCACTGACGCCGAAGAAGTAGGCATCCACGGCAGCGACGTTACCATACGGCAGAATGATGATGAATCCGACGAGACCAATGGAAAAAATGTATGCATCTGGATACCAGGTTAGACTTTTGCAGTCCAGGACTTCGGGGAATATGGAGGAACTCGCAGTGCAGCGTGAAGAAATTTGTTGGGGGCATCCACATGACGGCGATGATGGCAATTGACGGGAGAAGTTGGCGAGAAGATGTCGCCTTTGAGACGGGGTTTTAGGCTCGATTTAAGGCTAACGTGCATGATAAGCAAGTGGGCCAAACAAGCAAGTGGGCCACCTGACCACGACCATGCGACGACAGCAGCATCCCGGTGAACCCTAACGCCTTAAATCAATTGAAACTACTTGAAATCCTCTTCTTCAGAAGCCCTCGTCTCCAGCTGACAAGTCCGCGCATTATGTCCAGGCTCGCCGCAGACACCGCAGCGCCGTTTCTTCGTCCCGTCCCTTGGTTGGCGACTGCTTCTCTGACGCGTTTCCTCATTTATCTGGACCTGAACCTCGATATTGGTTTGTATCTCCTGTCCCTCACCTAGAGTTAGACTCCCTCCTTGCCTGAGACGTGTTTTCTTAGCTCTCCGACGCTTGCTGAGTGTCGCGTTCTCGTCTCGAAGGATCTGGTTCTCCGACTTCAATAGGGCGAGTTGATGCATGATTCCACGCGTCCCCTTGGTAAAGTGGTCTATAGCGTTAAGAATCGACGTCGGAGAGCTTCCTTGGTGTCGGGCGATTCGACCTTTAATAAACTCTGACTGACAGCTAGCTTCAATCGGGTTGTGAGGCGTTTGGGAGACCCAAGGTTCTGATGTATCGGGGACCCCCTCGACGGGCGTCGGTGTCCGTAGCTTCACATCCAGCTTTGAAACCACAATTTCGGGGCTCATTGGGACAAGCCCAGCACCTCTGAACCCCCCCTTGATATTCCTTTCCGTCATAGCTTCTTTGAAAGCTGCGAAAAACGCGGGAAAGAAGTCCTCCTTCGTGATGTGGCTTGTACCTGCCCTCATCTTCTTCTCAATTTGCCGACCGTAGGCCTGCTTTAGCGGGCCAAAACAGCCAACATCAAGAGGTTGAAGTAGGTGAGATGAATGGGGAGGCATGCATAGCGTAATGATGTTGTTTTCCTTGCAGTAGAGCTCGAACTCAACGGAATGGTGACTTTGGTGCCCATCTAGGATAAGGAGGCGATATCCGGCCGACCGACGGGGCTTGGTATGCTTGTCAAAATGCTGAATCCATTCTAGACCTTTCTCATTTGTTGTCCAGCCTTTGTCTGTCGTAGCGATTACCCAGTCGTGAGGTAGAGGGCTGTCTTCGTACCAGCTTGAGAGGTGATTTTTGCCCGCCATAATGATGAACGGCGGGACACACCACCCGTCTGCGCCAACGCCTTGGATCACTGTCACCCATTCCCGACCTCCTGGTTGGACCATTTTCGTATTAGAACGTCTTTCGGCGTTCGTAACGACCATTCCGGACCCGATAACGCCCATCATAAACCCAGTCTCATCGAAGTTATAGATATCAGGCTCCGCGATACCGTATTTGGCGATTGTGTTCTTTACGAGCGCGAACCAATCGCGAATTGCCTCGGGATCTTCGCATTGGGCTCTCTGATAGTCATATCTGCGAAAGAAACGCGTCTTAAGCTCTGGTTGTCGCCTGACGAAGTTTGAGGCCCAGCGCTTCCCGACACTCGGCGCGTCGCGGTCGGCTAGCAGTCGATTAGCCATATCTTCAACCTCACAAAGCCGGGGAGGAAATGCTCGGGAATTTAGCTCAAGTATGTATTGAACAATCGTTAACTCCTCGAGCTCCGTCAAATTTCGATTGAGGGGGATCCTGTCGCGTTGCGAAGTAATACCGCGTAGTCGACGCGTCAAGGTCATTCGGGGAACACCAAAGATATTTGTCGCAGCGCGTATACTGAGATCTGGGTCATTTTGAATAGCCTGAAGAGCAAGCTGTAATTGACGTTCTTGTGAGGGCGGAGACATCGTTGTTGGTGGAAGAATTAATGGTTAACGTAAGAAGGTCGCGTTTTCGTCGTCAGGTGGCCCACTTGCTTGTTTGGCCCACTTGCTTATCATGCACGTTAACATAACATAACTGTTGGTATATCACTAGGACTGCGCGCCGCCAAGGAGTGCAGGCTGGAGGCGGCCCGTGCGCCTCCCTGCCACTCCGGCGGCCAAGGGCTATATCTGCCGCTCCGCGGCAGCAACCAAACCTAGCCCAAAACATCACCAGTTACTCGCACCACCCAGATTCACCGTGAACCGGTATTGCGCGCAACGCCGCGAGCCTTGAAGCTCGCCGCCCCCGGTTTACTCCGGTTATTTATACCTGAGCGAACCGACAATAACATAACATAACCCGTGAGCTTTCCTAACCATTCAAGACGTAGAGTTCTTGACGCTTGAGAAGATGTACGCACCTGTCGAAAGAAAGGCTCTGGACTGCATGCGCCAGACTTGAGACAGCGAATATAATCACTATGGCCAAGTTGGAGTCGAAGCTGAGGTGATACGGCCAAATTGCGCCGCATGCTTCGACAGACACATGTCCATGCTCGTTAGGTGGGACGGAGATAGATGTCAGGGAAGTTGATGTCGCGGTCTCGGACGTTGCCATTGTTGAGACCGTGTGGCTAAGGTGGTTCGATCTGCTGGTGACTGGGATGTGGATACTATGTAAGGAGCTGTGCTCCTCTCGGACTAGGTTTTAAATCTGGCTTCATGAAAGTTACGTTGTTCATCATCAAGAACTGTCTCTGGTGGTGATTCCGCACGCGCTAGCAGGCAGTGGATTAATAACAGCAGGTCACGGGCATCCCGAGGCAGAAATTGTCAAGGACTCATCATCACGTATTGAATACGCTGTGCCAAGGCGTCGATCTCGGCCCATAAATTCTGATCCTGATTAGTGGAAACTCCCCTTGGACTGGAGAAAAAGACATGGTGTGACGTCACGCAACTTCTAGCCTCAAGCGAGATAAACCCTTCCTTCGGGTCACGATACTTGTGGTGAATCCTACCAGTAGCGTTTAACCTATGCAAGGAACAGCTTCTATCAAGACAACACCATGAACAAATGAGGCGTGGGCGCATGTAGAAGTGTCTTCTCTTCTCCTTTTTGTCAGAAAAAACAACAAATTACAAGATAGTCTATACCACGGTTGCTGTACTCATTCAGCCGGCAGCCAGCCGACTTGCTCCATAGGCCAGCTCAGCCAGAAACGTTTCGCAAGTGGCATGCAAGCGTAGATTTCTGACATGAGATGTGTAGGCCAATCTTTTACCATCCAGGCACACTCTAATCGCTTGATCAACACCACAAAGTATGAAAAGAGTAGCAGCGCCACTGGGTCAGTGGCCTGTACCAGTTTCAGGTAATGATCCGATACACGATGTAACCAGCTGAAGACTGTGTAAGCCGAGACTTGCGCTGGTTCGTCATGCACCAGTGTGTAGCACCTACGCAGAAGCGTGAGAGCTTCCACCAGGCTCTCGCACCGCTCGTCATCCTTCGTGACGTTGATATCTACGAAGGATGCTAAAGCCCCTAGAGCTTCTTGGATGGATGGATCGAGGGCTTTGACTGGAACTTTGTTCAACTCTAAGCCAGAGAGCGGGAGTATTGGGTGCAGTTCCTCGTTCTGGACACTTGCGAAGTCGCATGCTTGCTCGATTGACCGAAGTCCGCGAAAAAGTGTCAGCCAGTGCGATGGGCCATTCTGGTTGAATATAAGAAGCTCTCCTGGGTATGGGCCGAGGGCAAATGTATGCAAGCAAGTTATTGTTGCAAAGAGATAGAGTGCGGCACAGTTTGACTCAGTGACGCGTGAGAGAAGCGGCGAGGCAAGCCTCAGGGCCTCTTCCCAATGCACATTAGCCTTGTCCAATAGGCCGGCAGGCATGTCTCTCTCAAGCTGGTACTTCATGTGACGTAGGTGCAACGCGCCTAGAGTAATGACTGCATGGAGAAGAAACTGGTGTCTAAAAGACAGCCTCGGGACTGTAACGCTCCAGAAGTATTGGGTGGCTTGCTCGTTACTGAAACTCTTAGATGTGACATGGCAAAAATGATGAAACAGCTCAAAATCGCCCACATCTAGAGTGGTTGCACAGCACCGGACGGATGCTGCCACACACGCCGTCGAAGCTGGGCTGGAAGCAGTGCTCTGGTTTGTGCCAAGGCTGCACACCAGCGATCGCCTGACGCAGTTGGTGCAAGCCGGCTTTTGCTCATCGCACTGGAGATTTGGACCAAAGAATTAGCTTGAATCATTTTGGAACGCAGGTCGACTCGACTGCCGGGTTGGGCGTTCGTTACCTTGATCCTCCTTTTTTTGCAGAACGTGCATCCATGACGTGACTTTCTATGGGCCCTTCGGTGGACGACTTTACCACCTCGGTCAGTAGGTGGGGTATTCTCATTCATGGAACTGAGAGCCGCGTGGAACAACGACAGGCTGTAGGTAGAGACAGACGTGTCAAAGAAGAAGTAAGCGGGCTATACGAAGAATACGCTCCTCGCGGGTCCAAGGCCTAGAATAAGTAGTGTTAACATTAAGTTTGGGCTAAGGATGTAGCAAAACGGGGCTAAGACGGCTTGACCTTGGACCAATCCAATGACGCCGCCAAAGTCCAGGACCCGTTAGGATCCACCACAATTTGGCGAATACGTTGTTATACGTCTTGATACGCGCAATACGCACCCAAGACCGTCCGTGCGCAGGGAACAACCGGATCGGCGAGAATCTCAAGCCACATGACGTTTCAGGGGTAGAGCGCCTAAGCCCGAGCCGGCGTCGGGAGAGTTCTTCGCGGAGTTTGAGATACGGACAGACTTGGTCTCGACTCGGCCTTATGACAAAGCGTTCCTTCACTTACAAACTTAGCTCCACTAGAACGCTCCTCTTCCATTCTTTCAATGTCTGGGGGGCACCTGGCCGAGAGTGCTGACTGCCGTGCGAACGTACCCAAATCGCTGCCGCCCATGACTCCTGAGAAGTCTCCATGCCGTGGAGTTTGCTGCTCTGTTTCTGTGCTCAAGGCTCGATGACAGCTTGAGCCATAGTCTCTGAGAGGACATTGGTTTGTTTGTTTGCTGATGCAACGGCGTATCTTGCCATGTGCATAAGAACCAGCGGTAGTATACCATCAGCGGATCTTCGAGCCCGGTATTTATAATCAAGCTTTTACTTTACTGCAGAAGACACCATAAAGCTGAACTACGAGCAACTACTACGTTAAAATGCCGGTCCGGCCAGGTAACTTACCAGAAGTAGACTAGCCTACGATATCTCACGCGGACGAAGATGGTCCGCCAGTCCATAATCGACTCTCAACCTCGGACATCCAGCCCATAGAGGTGCGCAGTCACGCAAAACCACGTGGTATGGCGAGACTGGAATCCTATCTCGCTATAAAAGTGTATAAAACCAGACAGCATCATCCCCTGAGTTACCGAATGCACATTCCAACCGCAACAGTCTTCGAACCTGCTCTCTCCATCAATTTCTGCTCAGCCCGAATCAGCACCCAATTACATTATCATGGCACCCAACAAGAGGATCATTCTCATCACTGGTCAGTATCACTTTCGTCAAGTGTCAATTTTCTGTTGGCTTACTCTTAGCTTTCCCAGGCGCCAACTCCGGCATTGGCTATGACACCTCCTACGCCCTCGCCAATGCCTCGCCAGACAACCACATCATCATGGGTGCCCGTTCCAGCGTCAAGGGCCTTGCAGCTCTCAACGAGATCCAGGCACGTAAGCCTGCCGGCACACTCAGCTTCCTCGAGCTCGATATCACCTCCGACGAGTCCATCGAGGCTGCCGCGCAGAAACTAGAGTCTGACTTTGGCGTCCTCGACGTACTCGTTAATAACGCCGGCATTTCAGGCAAGGAAGAGGTCTCGCGAGAGAATTTCCACACCGTCTTCGACACCAACGTCTTCAGCACCATGCTCCTGACCCAGGCCCTGGAGCATCTGCTGCGGATGTCCCGCGATCCTCGGATCATCAACGTCTCCTCGGTCCTCGGCTCCATCACGGTGCGGAACGATCACTCGTCCCCATATACACAGGTTACGGGAGAGACGTACCGCGTCAGCAAAGCGGCGCTGAACATGGTTACCGGAATTCAGGCCTATAAGTACAAGGAATGGGAGCACCCAGCGAAGGTCTGGTCGTTTTGCCCTGGGTTCGTGATCACCAACTTGACCGGGGAGGATAAGCAGAGCAAGATTGACCGAGGGGCAGAGTCTTCGGAGACGAGTGCCCAGGGGATAACGGAGATTGTAAGGGGTGATAGGGACGACGAGGTGAATCAGTTCTTGGCCAAGCGGGGTGAGGCCCTCCCGTGGTAAATTCGGGGTCCACAACCGGGTCGTTCAAGGCCATGACGGATGGATAAATTAGCTCTAATGAGTATGAATGAATTACTCTGACTCCAGGAGGGGTTTGATACGGCCGTGGTGATATCTCCCTCAGAGCTTCTTACCGAGAACCCAAGGCGATACTGTTGGTATATCACTAGGACTGCGCGCCGCCAAGGAGTGCAGGCTGGAGGCGGCCCGTGCGCCTCCCTGCCACTCGGCGGCCAAGGGCTATATCTGCCGCTCCGCGGCAGCAACCAAACCTAGCCCAAAAAAAAACATCACCAGTTACTCGCACCACCAGATTCACCGTGAACCGGTATTGCGCGCAACGCCGCGAGCCTTGAAGCTCGCCGCCCCCGGTTTACTCCGGTTATTTATACCTGAGCGAACCGACAGATACAGTCCTTCGGGTAGCGTTGCATGAGTTCCATGTTTGTCCGTTATTCATGCAAGGCCTCGGTTGCGCCCGGAACCCCTGTTGCCCATGAACTAGATGCCACCTAGTCTGGACTCGGCTGAGGTGGTGACTGAAACTCGCAGCAGTGTATTCTTTTTCATTAGACCAGAACCCCTCTGTTGCGCATGGAGATCTGTCAGACGTACAGGCCCTGATCAGGGCTAACTTTGACGTCTTGGGAGGGGTGATTAATTATCACGAGAAAAGAGATTTTTTATTGTTCATCTTGTGCTTGCTGCCTACAAGGTTGGGTTCTGGCCATCCTTATGTAGACCTTGTCTGCGAGTCAATCCGGATCCGGTAGTTCATATGGTTATCCGGATCCGGCTATCAAGCTTCTGCAAACAGGAGTTGTCTGACAGTAACTTAGTAAGATCAAGGATCAACAGTTTGGCTTCACGCCGAAGAATACAGCATCTTCATACTATTTTCTCATTGATTTGTTTATTATTGTAATAAGAAAAACCATTACCTAAACTTATCCCTGAAAACCACGGAATGAACGATTACACAGCACTCCACAAATGGAAGGGAGCTTTGTGAGAGTGAGTATGAAGATGAATCAAAGAAACTTGGGCAGAGATCTACCCGCCGGTACCAACCAATAGGAAGGCGAATTTTGAGAGCTTAGTCAGAAAAAGCGCTCCGGGCGCCAATTCTAAAATGGCGCCCAGGCGCCAGTGTATCATTCGCCTTAACTCGTGCCGAAGATTACCAATCCTCATAGTCCTGCTGAATCGGGGTCAGAAGTGTGCTCCGCATTGCCAATAAAGTGCACAACATGAAGTAACACTAGACGTCTAATACGAAAGTGACGAAGGAAATGCATGCGTGTGCAGTCCCGAATGAATCATAACCGTGAGTAGTCCTCGTCGTCCATCTCATTCAGACCCGACAATTAACGAGGCTAGGTAGGCTTGGATGCCTGTGCCTCACCATGATGACTTCGTCAGTCGATCTCGGAAGCTCCAAGCCAAAACACTTGGCTGTTCCTGATGCAGGCCGGGAGCGTGAGGCCTGTCTTGCTATCGACCCGGTTGGCTTCACAATTCGGCACCCGCCAGCTCCTCATCATCTTTCCTCATTCTTAACATCCGAGGAGCAGCTATTTCAGACAATTCACATGGGCGCCGCCGTCGTGGATCACGAAAGATGGCTTCTCATTATTGACGGCCTCGTTCAGCACCCATTTGCCCTTACCTTAGGCCAACTACGCAGCCTACCGACCTCTTCCATCACTTCTTTCCATGAATGTTATGGCAGCCCTCTAAAGCCTCCTACTGAAGCAGTGTGGCGCGTCGGCAATGTAACTTGGACTGGCGTTCGTCTGTTTCATATCCTTGAAATTGCCCGACCTATGGAGACTGCACAGTTTGTGTGGTCAGAGGGGCTGGACCATGGGACGTTCGCTGGGGTCACCTCGGACCGATATCAGAAGGATCTACCTCTGTCGAAAGCGCTTGGCTCCGAGGTGCTGGTAGCTCTCGAGATGAACGGCCAACCTCTGGGCAAGGAAAGGGGCGGTCCAGTGCGACTTGTGGTGCCGGGCTGGTTCGGCACCAACTCAACTAAATGGCTTTGCCGGTTGACTTTACAGGACCGGCGAGCTTCTGGCCCATACACCACGACTTTTTACAACGAAATTGACCCAGAAGACCCTCTCAAGCAGAGAAAAAGACCGGTCTGGGCAGTCGAAGTAAACTCTATGATCGTGTCACCGGCGCCAGACACGGTGATCCACCAGTCCAAGGTGGCCGTTGACGGTTGGGCATGGTGTCATGAGCCTGTGACTAAGGTTCTCGTGAAGTCGGCAGCGGAACAGCAATGGACTGAGGCAACAGTCACAGAGAGAGATGACTTCAGTTGGCAGAAGTGGAGGGTATCGTTGTTGCTGCCTGGCGGAGAGCATATTCTGATGGCTCGGGCAATATCTTGCTCTGGTCAGGAACAACCGCTCACGGGGCGGAGGAATCATGTACATCAGGTGAAAATCATGATCAAGACGAGCAACGAATGATTTCATTACGCGCATCAGTTGCAAGACAGTGAAGTATGTTTGATTAGATCATTAGTCAATCTAGCTCTCCAAGGCCAAGGCTATTCTACGCAGCCCCTCATCCAGGTCTCTCCGGTCGAGGGAGTAAACAACCCGGAACCATCCGGGTTTCTCGGCACCAAACTGTTCTCCAGCGGCAAGCAGAACCTTTTGATCCCAAAGCGCCTTTCCCAAAGCTGTGGCAGCTTCGTCTGCAGTCATTTCAGGATGGCTTGCTCGGAAGGGTGTTCCAATATCGACCCAGACAAAGAACGCAGCGTTGCTACCGGGCTCCACAGATACCTGATGATTATCTGCCCAACTAGCCACCAGTACGAAGTGCTCGGCCAGCTTCAGCCGATTGTCCGTTATGTATGCATCAACCCACGCGGTGTCCTCGAGGATATTAGCCACGGATGCTTCTGCGAGGGAGGCGGCCGAGCTGTGAATAGAAGAGAAGGCGATGGCTGTGTGAAGCTCCCGGTTGTGCTGAGAGATAACGGCTCCGATACGAAGACCGTTGGCCCCAAAGTCCTTTGAAGCCCCCCAAACAACATGTATAAGCGACGGGTCGATGACGTCCTTAGTGTCAATAGACAGGCAGGAGTAGAATTGCTCTCCCGGGCCCCAGACGGAGAGAGCGTAGATCTCGTCGCTGACTAGGTGGATATGGTACTTCTGGCAAAGCTTCATCAGTCTGACGATGGTATCGCGGGGATAACATCGGCCAAGGGGATTGTGCGGGTTGCAGAGGATGAGCCCCCTGATATTTTGGCCCTTTTCCCGTGCCTCAAGTAAAGCTTCCTCGTACTTCTTCACGGCCTCTAGTCCTAACGGATCAGCATCTGCAAATGATACCGGTACGGTATTAACGTGCATTCTGCCGCCAAGAGTCGTCAAGAAGGCTCGGAAGTAAGGCTTGCCTAGAAGGAATGCCTCACCGGGGTCTGCGATAGCCCAAGCGAGCTGCTCAAGGGCGGAACAACAGCCGTTCGTGATGGTGATGTGGTCTGCTTCGAGGGCCACAGTCGGCCCAAGTTGCCTCATCAGGAAGGCCGACATGACAGACTTGAGTCGATTCGATCCTGTGGTGCCGTCACCATAGGTCAACATGTGAGGCGTAGGCTCGAAACACTCGGTGAGGCGAGGTAGGAGACGGGAATGCATCAAGGAATTTTCGGCCATTGCGAGGCTCAAGAAGCCTGATGGGTTGTCGTCGGGATGCCAGAGGTTCTTCAGGATCTCCCAAAAAAGCGTGGCGCCTTTGGCCAACGCAGCATCGCGACCGCGGACTGACAGAGATGCCATGACGCCGGAGGGTTTGCGGCGTGTTGCCAGATAGAAACAATTAAAGAACAAATTCAAAATGTATGGTGTAGCCAAAACAGACAAATGCGAGAGATGCCTTCAATGTAGAATCTACATCGTAGATGAAAATATGGGTGCCAGTTAGTCAAGTGTGTGGGGTGTGACAGAGCCTTGACATCAATGCCAAGGACGTTAGATCTGGCCCCGAAAGTCCCCGGCGCTGCGGAGATTTGTATCACGTATTCATGCGGGATAGTGATTGGAGAAATCTAGGACGGTCTTGGAATAGCCCTTTCGGGTAATCGATTTCTCACTAGCTTTTAGAGTCACCCATGTCAATAGAAGAGTCGGCGGCCAGAAATACAACCGAGCCGGACAAGGCGATGCACTAAACTTATAGTGCCAACCTTGGAATCAAAGGCATCTGATGGCGTACTTGAGCCTAAACTCAGCCCACTATCCTTCACTTCTGACTCTTCATCCATCCCATCGACCTGCAATCATGGCGTCGACTATCCGAGTGGCCGCCTGCCATGCCGCACCAGTCTTTCTATCAGCGCAGGAGACAACTAAGAAAGCCGTTGCTTTAATCAAGCGAGCCGCCACTCACGGAGCCAATCTAGTTGTCTTTCCCGAAACATACATAGCGGCCTTCCCGATATGGAGCGCATTGCGTGCACCCACAGAGAACCATGACTTTTTCAAACGCATGGCCTTCGAATCTGTTTACGCCGACGGAGATGAAATCAAGGCCGTTCGAGCTGCAGCCAAGGCGTTTCGGGTCATGGTCAGCATCGGCTTTTCGGAGAAGGTTCGCTACAGCAGCGCGACACTCTTCAACTCGAACATCCTAGTCGATGAGCAGGGCGAGGTGGTCATTCACCACCGAAAGTTGGTGGCAACCTTCTTTGAGAAGCTGACCTGGGCACCCGGCGATGGCTACGGGCTGCGTGTGGCAGAGACAAAGTACGGAAAAATCGGCGCCCTGGTCTGTGGCGAAAACACGAATCCGCTCGCTCGCTATGCTCTCATATCCCAGGGCGAGCAGATTCACATTTCGACGTGGCCTGCGGTCTGGCCAACCCGACTACCGAAGGACACCGCCGACAACGGCAAAGCAGACTATGACAATGTTGCTGCCAACCGCACACGCGCTGCTGCTCACTGTTTCGAGGCGAAGTGCTTTGGCGTGCTTTGCGCTGGTGTCCTAGGCAATGATGCCATCCAGGCCATTACGGACGGAGCGCCGCAGCTCGAAGGAGTGCTTGAGCAGGCTCAGCGCGGAGCGACCATGTTTCTTGACCCCACGGGGGCCCCGCTTCCTTCATTCGTGGTGAACAAGGATACCCACGCGAAGGAGGCTGTCGAGTTCCTGCAGAAAACTGAGGGAATCTTGTACGCGGACATAGACCTTGATGACTGCATTGAGGGAAAGCAGTATCATGATGTTGTTGGGGGTTATCAACGGATGGACGTGTTCGAGTTCAAGGTGGACAGGACGCGCCGACACCCCGCCATATTCACCGGCTTACCAGCGAGTGTCTCTTCAGTTGGTGATGACGTGCCCTCAAAGTAAAGATAGCTCATAAAAGTAGCTGGTGCATGACGGAGCTTCCATGCAAAATACGGGATTGGAGGGACACACCACCCGCCAACGATCGAGCTGTGTCACATCCATACCCGAATTGTCGTAAACTTACACTCCCTCAGGGAAGGGCAAACATAACGGAAACATAAAACTCAATTTGAACTCAATGGCAACCTCTTGCCCTGCGAAAAATCTTAGATTGTCGCATCCAAAACCCTCGCCAACATGTCATCAACAGCGGCACCGGTTGCGCTGGCTCATCAACGCCTGCTGCTCCGAGTGGAGCGGGTAGGTGTAGCGGGAGCCTGCGTCTGTTGGCGCTTCGTGCCAGCGGCGGCCGCAGCATTCTTTGTTGGAGCCTTGGCCACAGTTGGTTTTGCCGCGGCTGCCTTCTTGAAGTCATGCTTTGCAGCTGCAGCCTTTGCAGTTGCAGCCTCCATGCCATTATAAGTAGATGAGGCTCGACCATATTTGACCGACGTCGGCGAAACCAGGGCCCTGTCGAAAACCTCATCCGGGAAAAGTGGATCGATCGTAGGGCGCACTTGACAGAATGGAACTAAAACTACGTTAGGTACCTTACAAACACCACTTCAACAAGAAAAGTGGGTCACAGGGCGCATTTGACAGATCTAGACGTGAATTGTCACATTAACGCAGCCTACCAATAGCACCCTCCGTACGGTCTAGCGGCAGGGCATGTCTGAACGCGTCCGAGGCAAACATCATTTTCCTCACACAGATCACGCATCTTTATTTTTCAAATCTTCAAGAACTCAAGGGTTCATCTTTCAAAATATATCCCAAGTCAGACTATCTTTCGAGAGGAGCCCGATCCTCCCTTTGCCACAGTGATGGCACACAAGGTACATTAAAGGCAACAGCGATATCCGCCTTCTCCTCCAGTCACCTTTCTTCCGGCGCCCTCTCCTCCGGTATTTGGAGACAAAGAGCAAGGGTACAGAAGAGGATAGTCAGAATTCTTGGACTTAGCCTGATTTCTCAATCATACATTTCGGGATCTTCACCGTCCCCACCCCCATTCTATCACATGATACTCCGATGCCGGCCAAGACCTTAGACATCGCATGTATATAAATAGCCTGGGATTCCTGTTCAGTTCTTAATCAAAGCCATCGGAGTTTTTCCTTCTCGCTTTAACGCGCATTCGGCCCATCATGTACATTCGTGCAATCCACGCAGAGTCAGACCTCAGGGTTCTTCGACAACTCATTCGAGACAACCCTCTAGGGCTGTTGACCACCGCAATCCAGTCCAAGGAGCATCCGTTCCTTCAGTCAAGCCATATCCCATTTCTTCTCGACGTCGAGGACGAGACAAGCGAGACAGAAAGCGGCCGACTCCGCGGCCACCTTGCCCGGCAAAACCCCCACAGCAAGACCATGATCGAAGCATTGGCCTCCCAGCCAGAAAAGGGCGGTGTTCTGGAGCACGATGTCATTGTTGTTTTCACAGCGCAGGATCACTATATTACCCCAAAGTTTTACACCGACACGAAGCCATCAACGGGGAAAGTAGTTCCTACTTGGAATTACGCCGCGGCTCAGGTTTACGGGCGTGCTAAGGTCTACTTCGATTCTAAGTCTCACGACACTTCTCAGTTCCTCCAGACGCAAATTACCGACCTCTCCCGACACGCCGAAACAAACATCATGGGATATGTGGGAGGTGAGCAACCTACAGACTGGAAAGTCACGGATGCTCCCGACCGGTTTATCGAACTCTTGAGAAAGAACATCATCGGCATCGAGATTGAAATTAATCAGTTGGAGGGAAAGTTCAAGATGAGCCAAGAGATGGGCAAAGGTGACAGAGAAGGCGTTGCAAGCGGCTTGAGCAAGCTGCAGAGTGATGTTGCCAAGAAGATTGGTTGTCTCGTGAAACAACGCAGCGATGAGAAGGATGGTTAGGCAGAATCCAGGAAGACTGAGTAATTGGATTGCGTTTCATGTGAATACTGAACCATTATGTTTGATGCCCAGCGGCGGCTGGGTATTCGAAAACAGACGCGAGGCGAACGTATACATTTTTGACTATGCTGGGCATTCTTTGAGTACTGTCTATTTGTTTATGAAGACGCGAAACGACACGTGGAGGTACTTCTCTTCCGGTTCCTTCGCGATTCTTCTTATCTCCTCAGGCGATTGCGCGAATATTCTAGCTGTCTAATGAGGAGACGGGCACATTCCTTTTGTAAAAAAGGGGCCCCCCCCCCCCCCCCCCCCCCCCCCCCCGGGCCCTAACCGAATCACGGCGCGCACCGCAGAGGCTGCCTGAGCTTCCGTTCCCCGTCGCGAATAACCAAGGTACCTTAGGAAGGGTACAAATAACAAGTTAGAATGGGGCTCATGCAAGCTAAGGTAAAGATCAGAGGCTACCGCGGCGAGGTGCCCCATTGCTTTCTTGGCCACTACGTGGAATTACATTCACAGTGGTATGCGCAAGTTCTCAGCTCGGCCTCCTCTGGGAACTATCGTGCAACACTAGGGATTTCCTTGTCTTATCGACCTCACCGCTCTCCGGCTCTCACTGACCTGACGATGGTAGAGCGAATAGGGTCTCGTGGTGGGACCCGGGGGGATAGAGGTGGAATGCATCAACTCTCAACTGCATGATCGCCACATTCGGCTGTGAGGCCATTGTCGCGTTTGAATTGCAGCAGCCACTCCACATTGTCGGCGGGAGTCTGGTCCCACGTATCGTCACTAGAGGCCGACATCAGCTTGCTTCGTGACATTACAGCTACAACTTAGTAGCTAGAACAGAGTCAAGCACATCGACCCAGGCATGTACGACGGAGGCTCACCTGTCAAACATGATCCACCGCGCCTGGCATTGTAGCTCTTCGTCTGTTGGGATGTGCCACTGAGGGTTCTTTGGAGATATGGTCATCGCGACGAACCTGGAAAGTTCTCGCCTTAGGCCCCAGTAGAACGTGTCAGTAGACAAGAAATTGAATTGCTGTGGGCCTGACAAGTTCGTCAATGGCTCTTTCTGTTCGACTCCCTGATAGCAGGGGGAGTCATATCCAGGGGTAAGCTCAGTGACGGAACCGAGTGCTGCATTAGGCGTGTAGATTGACGGGTTCTCCAGAATGCCAGTGGAGGGCTTCGCGCACTCAGGGCTCCTGTGCGTACTCGATGTTGTCATGACGAGTTCTGAGGTCCCGAAACCAGGGTTGGCTACCATTGCAGATAATCCAGCCCGCCGACGAAACGATTCGAGCCAATGCGTAGAGCTGTGGATGAGACTCGTCAGGAAGGTGACAAAAAAGACGGATGACTGTTTTGACTGCGCATCCAAATTTTCAACGATCTGACAAGCCTCGCGTTGCAGGTCAGTGTCATCGATCTGCGAGCCCAGACGTTGAGACTGGGACAGCTGAACAAAGGCCTGGAGGTCTTCCTCCAGATTACATGAGTCAAAGATGTCCGCCTTCCCGTTTATTCTTAACTCAGTCACTCGAGCTTTCAAATTGCTCCCAAGGGGCCTGTTTTGTGCTCGTCGTAGGATGTCCTCGTCTGATATGAGGAGCTCCCGGAGCCAGGATGGTGGCTTGCCCGAGACATCTTGTGATGGTGAAAGCATCTCGGATCCAGAGATAATGCAACAGCTTTCGTACTGTAAATCTTCCTGAGAGGGGGGATTGGCGTTTTCATCATGAAGAGAGGCGAGTGAGTCCAGCTCTATCTTGATGAGCTCAAAGGCACTGGGAGGCGTTGCTGGTGGCCCTCTGTTCGTAGTGAACGGCCACGGTGAGTTCCGCTCGAAATCGATGAGATCTGAGAGTAAATATTAGTAACTCTTCGGTCTCACAAAGAAGGAAGGAGTAAGGAGTAGCATTATGATGGGCAGGTGGGTCGTACAAGGCGGTATTGAGTTCTGGACCATCTCTACCACGTTGATGTCAAAGCCCCAGTCACCAAGCCACTCAGCCATCGTCGCGCCCGACTTAAAGTGGTCGGCTAAATGGTCGACTCGCTCGGTCCAGGAGGACATAGCGAGGCCACAGAAGCCACAGGATGATGTAACATCCTTTATTGTTTGCTTCCAATGCCCCATGGTCGGGCTTTCAAACTTAGTATGGTGCACCGCTTTCAGGTGTTGTCTGAGATGGTCCTTGCGGTAGAAGGATCGCTCCTCAGATGGCCGATTCTTGCACACTTCGTAATTGTGCATCGCCAAGTGATCCAAGTCAGGCTCAAACTCAGCACAATAGGCGCACGTCAGGTGCCCGGCGTCGTCTTGGGTGTACGGTCCCTCTGGCGAGCACTCCCAACGTTCCAGAGAGAGGTGCAACGATTTCTCGTGCCGTTGCCAACCATGTTTTTGAGCGAAGGTCTCGGTGCAGAAGGTGCATTGGAACTTCCGCGGCAATTGTGAGAGTTTAGTACGTGTCGCGGCGGCATTGACAGCAGCCCGATTCCGTCGCCTCTTGTGCTTCGTCCATCTGCCCAAGTTATGCGAAGGTAGGTGCGAGGAGGCCGACCTTTGCGAGTACGCGGATCCACCAGAACTGTGGTTTGAGTTCGATGTCCCGGCGCTGCTGGCAGATGACCATTCTCCCCAAACCGAAGGCTGCGGTCTCACAGCAGCGGTCAGGCCATTCCGTGGCTCCGAGATGCCAGCAGACCCAGACATGGCATTCAGAATAGCTGTCGCATCCGCAGCCTCTTCCTCTAGAGGGGAATTCTCCCACCTTCGCAGAAGGTCCAGTTGTTCGAGTGGTGGTGGACGTTGCGGAGGGGGGATCTGCATAGATCTAAGGTTAGAGGCCGATAGGACGCTGGGGCTTGTTGGTCGGACAGGGATCTTGGATTTCGTTCGCCGGCGAGCATTCGCGAGCCAGGTCGTTATCTGCAGCTCGTTTAGCCCAGTTTGGTGCTGTAACGACTCGATATCCCTCGTTCTGGGATAGGGGTGGTGTTCATGGGTCGCAAACCAGGTTTTCAAGATCCTCAGTGTCCTGGTGGAAAAACGGGTTCCAACTTTGGCAGGCACTGCTGAAAAGGATAATCCCGCCGCCTCTCCTATACCAGAAGGCCAAGCCACGCAAGAGGAGTCTTCAGGTAACGATTCACCACTGCTTTGATTGATGTGATTGTCTCGAGATGAATGGTGCAGAAGATGAGGCTCAGGGATCGGGGGCTCGTGCTGTGGAAAATCATCTTGGTTGAAGGACGAGAAGATGGTCGGGTAATCAGCCACCGAGTCCATGATACATTTTGCTACAGCAGCTGAGGTTGGCCGCTTTCCAAACGCTTGATGAGAGCAGAAGTGAAAGGGCTATGCTCCTGACGTTTCCCGGCTCTGGTTTCGCAATGGGGGAATCAGCAATCACATGGATCGTACGAGAGACCCACTACTCGTCCCTGAGCTTCGGATGCGGGCCCATCCACACTAGCCACACAAAAAGCCGAGGTGTCTTAGCCATGTTCGTACCGTACCGTTGCCAACGCTACGCGACACGGTTCGCCTCGAATCCGTCCATCAATGAAGGGCACGAACGATGATCGTTCACGTGTGTAGTAACTTAGCGTGCCATGAGCAGGTGCTATCGGATGAGTAATAGCATGTCCAACTTCCTAGGAAGTCGCTCCCAAATGCGAAATGCCGCCGTTTCCCTATCACTTCATTTAATCCCTTAACTATTTATTACGGTACACCGGAGGCTTTACGGTGAACTTTTATGCATATATGGCCGAGTTATACCAGCCAAGCCATATGGTCGACTTTGGGGCCGCTCAGTCTCGGCTCTAGCGAAAAGCAGCGAGGCTCAAAGACGCATCCAGTTCAGGTAGGGCTCGGTAAAACCCATCTCAGCGGTTCTCCTACTGGCCGACGGTGAGCGATTACTATCCTTTTTATTACGGCGAGACCTTTGAGATCGGCAGGCAGCGACACTGAGGGTGACCTCTAAGATGCACTACTGCTCAACTCGAAGTCCATCGGGCACGGTTTCGCTCTAGCCCGATCTCGTAAACCACCCATAATGAATCGTACTGACACAACGAAAAGGCAAGCTAGCTAACTTATCTCCGTGCCCCATAAGCTTAACTCCGTTAAGGCGCTGGAGGAGGCCCAGAATCTAGAGTACACCATTGTCCATAATGGTATGCTACTCGATTATTGGACCACCAAGCCCACAGAAATGTCGCCCTTCAGTCTTGTCGTCGACGTGGCCCGCAAGGCCGCGGCCATCCCAGGCGATGGAAATACACCCGTTGCCTTCACCCATACCTCTGACATTGCCGAGTATGTCGCGACACTCCTAGATGCGAAGGAGTGGGACATCGAATCGACCATCGTTGGTGACAAGGTGACCTGGAACGAATTCGTGAAGTTGGCTGAGGCTGCCCAAGGCAAGTCGTTCATCAGTCGAAGCGTGAACCTTTTCTAACGCCGTTTAGGCGCCAAATTCAACGTGAAGTACGATACCCTTGATGATCTCAACAACGGCAAGGTCACCGAGCTGCCGGGCCAGGTTCCCGCGTACCAATTTGTTCCGAAGGAGGTTTTCCAGGGATTCTGCATCACCTTTGGTCAGTGGTTCGCCTCTGGTGCTTTTGACCTGACTCCCTCAAAGGCCCTGCCTGGCATTAGACCCCTGACAGTCAAGGAGGCTCTGGAATACAAGTGATCGGGTAGCATGATGTTGATTGGTAGATGATCAGGTATTACCATCTAAGGCGTGGTTGACGAGTTAAAGGAGGGCCACAAAGAGGCCAAGTGGGCCTGTATGTATGTCGAGTCATTACCCCTGGCTTCGAGTTTCTAGCCATGACGCCCTGTGATTGCATGTAATCTACAAGTACACCCCGGCGCGGTTCCAGCACTGCGCCGGTACCGCTGCCCGGCGGGCACCAAACACTACTTAAGATTTTTGTACTAGAAATCTACACCGAAGCCACTTCAGACTCACTCTCGTTTGCAAATATCGGATTTCTTTGAATATGTCGACGACCGTAACGATACCAGCCCCCGTCATTAGGCCTTTAGAAGCGTCCGATCAAAATGCGGCCCATCAACAGATGGCTCTAGGTCGACTCGAGGCTGAGCCCGCTCAAACCCATCGCTCTGTCTACACTGGATTCACCAACGTACAGAAGAACTCAATCACCTTCTTCGTCGCCTGTTGCGGTCTTATCGCCTCCATGTCTACGACGAGCATCCTTGCTGCCGTTCCGGAAATCACCGACACGTTTGACACGACACCCACGGTTATCAGTGTCAGCAATGCCTTGTATCTCGTGATCATTGGATTATCGTGTTGTTTCTGGGGCCCAATGGCTGACACCTTCGGGCGCAAGCCAGTGAGAGACGTGCACCGATCCCGGAAGACTCACGGCAACAAGGCTAATTCGGCTAGGTATATACAGCAAGCACAATCATGTTCCTCGCAGCCTCCTTGGGCACTGCACTCTCGCCAAATCTCGCTACTTTTTTCATCTTCCGAGCCTTGACGGCTTCGCAAGCCACCGCCTTCCTCGTTTTAGGGTCGACTTGCATATCGGATATCTACCATCCCGTACGCTCCAATATCTCCAAGAGACAGTAACTACGCTAACGGTTGCAGATTGAACGTGCAACTGCCATGGGCTGGTTCCTTCGGGGCACATTGTTCGGCCCTGCGTTCGGTCCGCTCGTGTCTGGTATCATCGTCACATACACCTCCTCGAGGGTGATATTCTGGCTTCAAGCAGCCATGACAGGCGTTTGCATTGGACTTGCTATTTTCATGATGCATGAGACGCTTCAACAACCGCGGTTCGTCGAACTACGAGGGAAGAGTTTTCCTGTTGTGGCAGCGACCCTGTGGCTCTGGTCCAATCCAGTCTTGGTCGTCAAGCTCCTAGGCGAAAAGAACATGCTCTTCGTGGTGAGTAACGTTGCTCACCCACTTTCGGACACCCCCCCCATTCGGACACCCCCCCCATTCGGACACCCCAAAATATCCCCCCCCAAAAATCATACGATCAATTCAACCCGAATTTTCAACCCGTTCCGATGCAACGACAATACAGTCCTCCGGATCATTCGGTATTTCTCGGTCGCTGATTTCACCTATATTATCCTCTTTATCACCTGCCACAATTTGGGCCCCTGTGGATAGTTTCATGTCATCAAACTTCAAATTTAGGCTGATCCGGACCTTCTTCTTCGTCCTAGGCCCAGCCTCTCCCAGCTGCTTGTCCAGGCACATGAAGCCGGCGTTGC